TGCAATACACACACACATTTTAGTATTAGACATGTCTTTTTATGTTATAGAATAGTGATGACAAAACTGTGAAGTCCCTGCATGCCATTTTATATCCCTGTCCACTGCACCACACTATACACATACACACACTACAGAGAGAAAGTGAAAGACATTTCATTTTCTTGGCCCACTTTGCCATTATTTTGATCGAATTCAATACTCTTAGTGAGTCACTGCTTAAGTTACTTACCCAGCGGAGGGCTTAGAAATGAAGTCAATTCAAAAGGAATGCTGAAAAATTAAAGTTATGAAACGGCAGATTTCAAGTGCATACGAGGGGAGAAAAAGTTGAAGGTGAAAGCATGCTCGTGAGAAAAGGGAAAGAAAAAGAGACGACGAGCAGGATCAAGGAAACTGTAGTTATCAGGGTATCAGTGCCTGACAAGAAACAGACAGATTTGGCGATATTGTTTTGCTAACGTGCATTTATTTGTGTGTGTGTGTGTTATCCACAGAGACATCGCCAGTGCCATCAAGGAGCTGCTAGACACAGTTAACACTGTCTTCAGGAAATACCAGTATCAGAACAGACGCGTAAGTAGATACATGAGGAAGACAAAGTGCATTTAAACAAACGTAGCTTCTGTGGAATAAGTGGAGCTGAAAGGATGTCTGTGTTTATTGGTTAGGCACTGGAACAGCAGAAGAAGGAGTTTGTGAAATACTCCAAGAGCTTCAGTGTCACTCTCAAAACCTACTTCGGAGATGGAAAGTATGATACTGTTTCTAGTTATTCTCTATTTCAGGAGGTTTTTCTGTCGGTTTTCTGTCCTCGCTTTCAATCATTCAGCCTTTTCTTTTTCACATGCACACACTTCTGCCAACGCATTTTAATAGCTGCACACGCACGCACACACACACACACTGTCACCACCATGTAAATGGTTGTCGTTTGATCACAGGCCCGCTTCTATCAAATCCACCATTACTGAATAATTCCCTTGACCCATTTCCTGTGGTTTCACGCTGGATTGTATTCTCTGAAGCCTGACATTCTCCATTCCAGCCAGATCAAAGTGATCAATCCTAATATTGTTGCCATGGTTTCTTTGCTGTGTGATTGACACGTGTGTCCTTGTGTCTCTGTCACGGTTGTTTCCAGAGTAATAAACGTGTTTGTCAGCGCCAACCGGCTCTGCCACCAAACCAACATGATACTGCAGGCCTTCAAGATACTGGCGTAGGAACCCGAGAAGACGCGCACACACACACACACACACACAGATGTTTTCATTAGTGAGTAGGTGATATGAGGCTTTGTAATTTGTAAAGACATTTTGTTATTTTGGGCTGTATAATTTATGATTCTGTGGCTTTGAGGGGAGATCAGGTAGTTTGAGGTTCAAAGTGAATCAGGTTGACAGTAATTGCCAGGGATTTTTAACTCTCTTTTATGTTGTTCTTTTATCAGATTCTTAAGTCGATATTTCTTCGTTCCTTTATACATTTCCCTCTCTGTTAAGTGCTCTGTGGTGCTGAAAAAGTTTTGAGGAAATGTGATTATTTCCCATGTCCTTAAAAGTTTGGTGATTGCGCAAGTCTAAAAAAGTACAATGGAGAAAAAAAAAAGTGGGACTCAGTTTCCAAACACATTCCCACATTTTTGCGCCTTTACTCTCTTTTTATTGTCCGTTTTCCTTTTGTTAGAGGTAATCTTGATCTATACGATGGAATCACGTACCTGCCGATAATATCCTGCCGCTATCAGCATACATCACATTCGACTTAAATCTAATAGGTTCAGATTCTGTCAGGAGAAACTTTCAGGAATTTGAAATGGAGGCTGCGTTCACTGTCTGCTGTCATTGTCCTGTACTGTTCTAGAGTGCACTGCTTCACCCGGTGCATCATAAGCACAGCATATCCAGGTGAGCTGTCTAACTTTGTACTTTAGTCACAGAAATATCTACATTCCCTTAAAAACACGTACAAAAAACAAATGAAGATTCCTCTTTATTCACCTCTTTTATTGCCAAACTTTATATATGTATATGTGTATAAGTGCACCATGAGAAAAGTTGATGAAACAATCAAAAGGCATTGCTTTTCGTTGTTTTCTATGAGCAGACAAACACTCCTAGCATCAAACACTAAGTACCTGAAATCAACTCAACCATCTTTATTCAACACATAATTTCGTGATATCCTTGCAGTCATGGTGTTAAATAATAAATCCCGAGTCCTCTTGTCTGGGACCGAGACAAGACTGCAAGATGCGGTCGAGTCCGAGACACGACGGAGACCAAAAAGAGACCAAAAAGTGGTCTCAAGACCAAGACCCATCTTGAGTACTACAACCCTGGTACACTGTCAGCTTTGTTTGCCGTATATCAGTGGTTTAAACCATTTCTTTTTCTTGGGACCTCTTAATTAGCTACTTGTGCAGCCCTGTCTCCCAGCCCAAGTCATTTGAATCAGCAAACACATTTTGACGGAAACTTAATGCAGAGCAAATTATGTTTTCAATTAACATAATGAGGAAATGTTGCTAGTTAATGTATCTAGCAAGTTGCGAAAATGTTGATACTGAACGCATCAGCAAAATGCTCACTGACAACATATTTCAGTTGTTTTCTGCCAAAATAGGCAATTATGCAATACACCATCCACTTCTAGTGACTACAGCATTACTTTTTTAATTACTGTTTTTTTATTAGCAGTTAGCTTAAATCACAATCTTTCCCCAAAGTGCATTTGTGCCTGAATTTAAGACGAGAGTCCTTGCTATAACATTTTTGTTTTTTAAATGTAACCAAAATCATGATCTTTCCCTAAACGTAACCAAAGTGCTTTTGTTACCCAAACCAACGATAGGAGTCTGGACACAAACCCGAAGTTCTGGTGTCAAGGTCCTGCACTTTGTACAATTAAGAAAGCAGTTTAATTACGGACGAATGTAATTTCCAGGAGACAGACTTGACATGTGACATGGGGTGGGAGAAGTTCAACCACAGTGATTTTTTTCCCTTTTTCTGATCATTTGATGTAAAGCAAAAACAATTATGTATGAATTTCTTTCTTTTTTTTTTATCCTGTATCTGCACAAAAATTCAAATCTACCATAAAACTCTTTGAACCCTACATTTCACTTCATTGTTTGCTGGTGAAAGTTCATTTCCCCCTCCTTTTGTAAATGTGGCAAACTTCACCATCGATGGCAGGAGATCACACTGGGATATTTCCAGCAAAGCCATCACAGTGTTTGATCAAAGATTTTTTTTTTTTTTTTTTTTTTTTTTTTTTTCAGAAATCCACTGACATCTGTTTGAATGTCACATATTTTACATCAATGAGCAAATCCTTTGTTTTGTGCTCCAATTTGTAGCACAGTCTCACACGGGGGAGTGCAAGGGCACAGCTGCAATCGTGGGCACAACCTGGTGCTGAAAAACAGGTCGGCTGGTAGAGTCCAAATTCAAAAGTAGTTGAAGGTCATTGCGACAAATGCCAGAAGCAGACTTGGTTCAGTGAAAGAAGGTACAACAGAGGAAGTTAAAGGACTTCAGTAATATTTCTCAGAATGATCAAGTGTAACACTCACTGGGTATTCTTTTCAACTTCTAAAGATATGAATATGTAAAAAACACAATTGTTAAATGATGGTTAGTGACTTAATTGAAGTTTTATCCAGATTTGTAAGAATTTGAAGCAACAGATTTTGATCTTAATAAGCTTACAAGACTGTATTTGATCATGACTGTATCATTTCTCTCTCTGTCTTTCTCTCTGCCTGATACTTAAATTGCCATGGCAACATTCTCGAACCAATGTAAATAAAATTCCTCAAGGACTATTAAACAAGAGTCACGAAGGTTGACTTGAGAAAGCATTTTTTTCTCTTTTTATTTGAAATTAAAGGAGTTTTGTCACATGAGAAAGATTTTCAAAAGTGGGTCTCTCTTCGGATTTCCATTGTAGTATGAAAGTGATTCATCTCTGCTCAGTTGCCCTTGCGTTCTCTTTCTTCACATGCACCTCTTTCCTCCCAGTACTAAGATCCGTACCCATTTTTTCCCCCCATTCCAGCAACTTCATTCTTCTCCCTGTATAATAGTGGATTTTCCATGGTGGATTTGTGGTGGGCTATTTTTGGGCTCTGTACTGGCTCCTACATGCACCACTGTAATCCAATTGTGATAGAGTTAATTTTTAAAGCTTTATTATTGAAATTGCTGAGACCTAATTTTCTGATCCTGTCAGCGTTGACGACCGCTGTAATCAGCTAATTCAAGTTATTCCAGGCCATTAAGTCACTCGCAGGGATTGGTCGTGGTCACTGAAGCAGCGGGGAGGAAGGGGAAGTGATCATATCTGTGTTGGATGTAAAGTTTCTGTCTGCGTACATGCTCGCAGTCATATTTGTCTCAATTTAAAAACCCCCAGTGAGACTTTCTCCTTTTTTTCTTGTGTGTGTGTGTGTGTGTGTGTGTGTGTAGCTACGAGTGACCCACAGGAAGTTCTCTCAAAGGCATTCGAATGGCACTATAAAGCTCTGGTGGTGTGTGGTTTATTTTCGTCCAGGTCCAGGTTCACATCAGTGTGTTTTTTACTTGTTTCAATGCACAAACACTTTTATGAGCAGCAGTAGAATACCAATGTACTTGTGAGTTGTGTTGCTGTAGCTATGGTGTGTGTGTGTATCTGGGTAGGGTGGTAATTGTACCCCACACAGATTATCTCCTCTCCAGTGCCTAATCTGTGAATAGAAGTAACACACACACACACACATTGTTACGTACAGACGATAGGGCCTGGACTCACAAACACAACTCTTTTTGACTACTTGGTTGCCAGGAAACTTAGTCTGAGTCTTTGAGAGTGAGGGATAATAAAAGAAAAGAATTGTGTGTGTGTGTGTGTGTATGGCCTCAGCCACTGTCTGGGCTACTGGGGGCAGTTAGTTAACTCTCTCTGGGTGTGTGCGTGCTGCAGCCAAGGCTGGTAGCATTGATTGCTTCTCAGACATCGCCGGCTTAGACAAACCTCTGGACACAAAGAACCTCCTACGGACAAGACCCAGCCAAGGCCAAGAAGGACCAAGCAGCGGCTGAGGATTTGTTTGAAATGTCATACATTTAAAAAATGGTGTTTCAACACCTCAGAGCACGGGGGATTCTGGGACAGTTTTCTGTGGACACCCGTTGTGGACTGAGAAGATGAAATTGGTCATCTTGGGTAAGTTTGAATTTGTTATTAAGTGAGAGAGTGTGCTCAGCTCGACGATATGGGCTTCATTATTAAAAACCTGCTTGACTGAAGCGTGTGTACACACTGGGAGTCCGGGGAAAGGCACAGCTAACTTGACAGTGATGTTGCCAGGCCAAGAGGCTGTCATTATGCAGTTACAGCCTGCTGCTGAGATGGCTTTTTGGACAGTTTGACTGCAGCGGATGATACTCTGTGCTACTTTAATGAATTCCGGATAGAAATCCAGCAGTGACAGTTTGGAGAGAGTTGACTGGACCTTAAGGGGCCATCGAGGAAGACGAGAAGCAGCTCTGGTAGGTGGATTTGTTCACCAGCAGATATGATAGCACTATACTACATATTTTTGCTGTTAAAGGTCCAGTGTAGGATTTAGTGGCATCTACTGGTGAGGCTGCAGATTACGTGTAGGAGGACTACAGTGGCCAATGTGCCAATGGTCCTGTCTAGAGTCAGTGTGTTTATCCATTTTCGGTTTCTGTTAAACAACATGGCCAACTCTGTGGAAGAGGAGCCACTAATGGGTGTTTAAAAATAGGTGGAGACAATGTTTGAGACATGCCGCTGCAGTATAAATGGATCTTCCGCATTGTGGGGCCCATAAAGCAAGCACACTAGAGACTTACAGTGGTTGGACAGCTAACTTCATTTTAGCCCCCTACTAACTTGAATTGGGATAAAAAATATTTAATTATGTGTCTTCTCTAGACTCAAAATGCTTTCTGACCAAATCATCAAATCCTGACAGTGAAATGAGTCACTTTGTAGGGGCTGTGACGCTCAAAAAAATGTATCCACTGATTTACAGATGTCTCTTTCACAGTGTAATCTATTCTATTCTATAAGTATTTTTGGGCCCCATGGCATCATGTGACAGACCCAGAAGTTGTAATTTCATGTTTGGCCACTTTGTAAAGTTGTCTTGTTGGCTTGGTTCTTTCTAAGGTCACGAAAATGAGGCATGGCCCGGCAACTTGAGGTGCTGCATGCATTAAAATTAGTTTAGAAATTTAGAGTGAATTAAAAGCCGACAACACCACCTAGGAATCTACAGAGCCCGGGACCCTGAACAAAGGGCTCACAGGTTTTACAAAAAAATCAGAGGAGCGGTTTTAAAAAAAAAACAAGCAGGAGGATAAAAGTCAATTAAAGGGGAAATTATTACAATTAAAGATAAGCAATGATGGTACAATTAATCACTAGTGTTAAATTATAAAACACTAAAAATGGCTGTTCAGCAGTCTGCTATAACCCTAACAATCAGTCCGGTCTCATTCAGCAACTCCTTCCGAGGTCCTCCCTTTTGGCATCACACCAACTCCAGCCTTGCACAACTTCCACGCTGACCCCAAATTGCCCCAACCATTGGATCTGCAGAAGCAGTGTGTCCCCCACTGCTACCCTAGCTTCAATAGTGTGTCCTGGCCTGCCTCATTATATACAAGAGTACTCACGGTCTTCCTGGGCGACTTCCCGCTGCCAATCCAGGCTTTAGTAGAACGACCTTGGCGGACACTGTCAACTGCACGTCTCCTTGCTGCACTTATCGGGGATGTGGCTGGTGACTCTCAGGAGGACCAGCGTGGTCGCTTCCTGCTTCACCCTGCCTCAATAAATCCATCTAATCGGGTCCCTCCGCACCTGTTGTTCATCAGGTGATTAGGTCATATGCCTCTGGGTGTGGGTGTGTCTTTCAAGTTCATAAAAAACGCACCTCAAAACAGACTAAAAACAAGCAAAGCGATTAAAAATACAGCCACAGCAACCCAGATAAAATCATATAAAAACACACAAGGTTAAATAAAAGCACAGCACACTGATTAAAAAAAATGCAAATGAATAATAAACACAGCAAAACATGACATAGACACAGATTTTTGACCCAATTCTTATTTTCAGGTGATTATTTAAAGACTAATGAAAACATATTATATACCACTGCTACCAGGAGACGTCCCTAAAACCTACACATTGGACCTTTAAGTTGTGTTGTAAAATTATGTACAATTGAAAGCAGTTTTATAAATGTTGGATATGTTTGTTTGTTCAAACACTTGTATATCTATCGTGCTTGAGCTCAAAATATGGGCCTCTTTTTGTGTTAATTCATGGAACTGTGTAATCTCATAAAGACTGATGCCAGCTTCTTGCCCCAAAACAAGTCAGGATGTCTTTTCATGCATTACTGTGACATATCTGTTTCAGCCTAACACTTTCTGTCAGTGTAAATAAAGAGGTGGATGAGCCGTCATATCAAGATCATGTTGCAGTTAATCGGAATTATAAAAAACATAATAGCTGCAGCAAAGCATTGATTTTTGCTTTCATTACACACCCTGTCATCTGAATCTCAGCTCAGTTTGATGCCCCTTCCAGTGAATTTGTCTCATAAATGTTTATACGGGGCTGGAAATGAAACCGAGGGTTTGCTGTCGTCTCCCCTTTGTAGTGCCTCATAAAAAAACTTTTTTCATCATCTCACATTTCTGCCTCAGACCTCAAACATGCTTTTAATCACCTAACAGGCTAATTTAACAAATCCTACCTTGTATTCATGCTATTATTCATGCCGCTCATCTACCTGATTCAGTATTTTATTTCACATTACCTGACACAACAGGGACTTGACATGCTTTGGCAACCTGCTGCCTCCTCGAACCGTTCCCAAGACATCATTCAGGGGACCTATTCACCCACCTTTGAAAGCCACTGAGCTGGGGTAAATTTCTGTTGAAAATGAAAGACCTTTGCACACCATTCAGCGTAGGCATGTTTGGATAGAGTGAAAAGAGCCAACAAAAGAAGTCTGCCGCTGCTGTGACTGTGCCGCATGATTATGTGACATGACAACACGCCGTGAAACAGATATAGAAGGTTACTAAGGGATTACCTGAGCTGGGAACATCTTGTTTCATCATGTAACACCTAGAAAAGCAGGGGAGCTATTATTTTACTGTGTGTCTTCAGGACAGACTCTCTCACACACACATGCTTTACCTTCCTGACCTTGTCGGGTACGTAGGTGATTGATTGACAGGTCTGAGCTGTAACCATGGGAACGAGGATGGAGGTGGCACAGCTTGAGAACAGGATGAACACTGAGGACTATAGAAAGCTACAGGGCCTTTTCGTGGTGAGTGTTTATTCATAGGCTCATATTACAACACCTTTAATTCACAGGAGAAACACCTAAAAAAGAGTGTTATAATTAATACTGTATCTGTTTGGCAGCACTGCATAGTACCACACCTCCAGGTCTCATAAGAAATGCTTTAGAAACCAGAGTCTGCAGCACCTTAAAAGAGACTGTTTATCTGTCTGCAGACATTGTGCAATGTCTCCCGTCTCCCACAGGACCCCTCGGGTGCACCGCGCTCCTTGTCCAGAGCTGAATTCATCAATCTGGCTTGGTCATCAGTCGGTCGTGGTTCCAAGGAGGAATATGGCCTCCTGTTTGACAGCGTGGTTGTCACTCAGGAGCACCGTGGCCTCCTCCTGGATATCGACGCAGTGAAGGAAGAGGGACGTGTCGACTGGGGAGGCCTGTGCTCTTTCCTGCTGCTGGAGCTCTCTGATAAAGTGAAGAACACCAGAAGCAGTAGCGTGCCTTGCTGGAAGCCACCGCGCACTTTGACCTGTCCGCATCGGGACCCAGTTCAAAAGGTAAAAAGGTCACCGATCTCTTGGAGGCTTATTAAGAACAGAAGAGTCCGTTATGAGGGTTGGAACATGTTGCCCATTTTAACAAATGATGTATTGCAGCACATTATCTGAAAAACATTTTGACATTGACTGACTGGAGAATCCAAAACTCTGCTGACAGGGTGGAATTCCACATTATTAAACATTGTGCAAGGAAAAGTGTGAAAGTATTAGGGTCTTGCTCATCAAAAAGGCCCACCTCTTTTGAGATAAATGGCTCTGGACTCCTTTAAGTTTAACATCTATCAATTAATATGTAAATGAAGCGGCCAGTATAAAGTGCCTACTGCTGTGGATAAAGTGATGGCTCACCACTTTAATCTTTCAATCCTGAGAATGTCAAAATGTCAGAATGTTGTGTAAGTTGTTTTCCAAATGGCTGGAAGGTTTTGACCCCTATAGCTCAGATTGGTCTTAGAGAGGCAGACAGACTAATGGGGCTTGGTAGACTCTAATTGCAGTTTATAACACTGTCGGTAAAGTGTGGCACAACTCATGCAGGGTAGCGAAAAATATATTTAAAGCTACACTTACTCAACTAGCTGTTGAACAGTGTTTAGTATCTAAAGACCTAATATTTCTCTGAGACTGCCCATTGTTTAGATGGCCCAAAACCCCAAAGTCACAGTAGTTCGAACAATGTCCCATTTGACTGAAAGCCCATTTTTGTGACAACCTGTTCTCCTTAAAACAAATGCCCATTGCTCCAAAGTACATTTTTTCCAAAACACGTGTCATGTCTTGGCTTTAAACGCCCACATTTGGTGGCACAAAAGCTGCTTGAAAAATAGCTAAGGGTCGATGAAAAACACCTGGATTCAGTAGCGCAAATGCTGCCAGGAAAGGCTAGGAAAAGTTGGTAAAAATGCCCAGGATTGGTAGCCCCAATACCACGGAGAAATGCCGCAAAAGTTTGGTAAATCCACCCGGGATTGGTCGCTTGATCACAGCTGAGAAATGCAGCAAAGGGTCAGTAAAAACAACTAGGTTTGGTGGTTCAACTGCCACTAGGAAACACTGGGAAGAGTTGGTAAAAGCTCCCAAGATCGGTAGCTCGAACACCGCAAAGGGTCAGTAAATCCACCTGGGATCAGTAGCTTGAACAGAGCCTAGAAACACTGCAAAGGCTCAGCAAAAACACCTGGGTTTGGTGGCTAAAATGCCGCTGGGAAACACTGAGAACGGTCGGTAAAAAAGGCCTGAGAATTGTAGCTCGAACACCACAAAGAATCAGTTAAAAAAATCAGTGATACCTTGAATGCCACTGAGAAATGCCGCAAAGGGTCAGGAAAAACAACTGGGATTGGTGGCTCACATGCCATTGGGAAATGGTGCTAAGGTTTCGGTAAAACCACCCAGGATTGGAAGCTCGAACGCTGCTGAGAAATGTCACAAAGGGATGGTGAAAACACCTGAGATTGGTAGCTCAAACACCACTGAGAAATGGGGCAAAGGGTCAATAAAACCAAACAGGATTGGTAGCTGGAACACCGCTGAGAAACGCCTTGAAGGGACAGAGAAACCAACCTGAATTGGTAGCTCGAACACAGCTAACAAATGCTGCAAAGGGTCAGTAAAAACATCTGGGTTTGGTGGCTCGGATGCTGCTAGAGATCACTGGGAAGGGTCCGTAAAAACACACGAGATTGGTAGCTCGAACGCCACAAAGGATCGGTAACACCACCAGGGATCGGTAGCTTGAACGCAGCCAAGAAATACTGTGAAGGGTCAGTGAAACACCCGGCATTGGTGGCTTAAACACTGCTGAGAAAGTGAAACTAACTGCAGGGAGTGGGCTTTTTTGGGGAATCAGGACTTCAGAGCATTAGGCATCTGTTTTGGGATAACAGAATGTCAAAGAAATTGGTCCAGTGGGACATTTTTCAGACTAATGGAGCTTTGGAATTTTGGGCCTTTGAAACAATGGCATAGCACTTGTCTCTCTGTCTCTGCTAAAATTGTATAGAGGCCGCTCTTTGCTAACATGTTAGTTTAGCTTCTTTTCTACATGTTTTTGGCATGCCATGTTTTTTCGCAGTTTCTTGCATTGGTCTTACTGATTAGCTGAAATATATTGGGGTTTTTGGCTAATTGCTAATCTACTGCCATGTAATCTCATTAACAGTAGAATTTCAGCACCTTGCCACCTTTTTACCAGCTTCAGTGAGACTAAAAAATCAAGGGAACTGATTCTAAGTCTCACTAAAACAATTGTTTCATTGGGACAGGCTAGCTTGAAAAGAAGGCTGAATGTTGGCTGTTTATAGCAAAGGCAGCCACACAGACAAGTCAAACTGAGCAGCAACGTGCAGTCAGTTTTAAGAGAAGCCAGCGCTGCTCCATTTGGTACATCTGAGAAAAAAGTCACTTGAATCTCGTCGTTCCAGTGACTCACCTGCTCTTGATAAATAGGTAATTAGAATAAGTAACGATAAATACATGACATGCCAATCTGAGGGATCCAAAGCCTGCAGTCGGCTGTGGGAGAGTGACCCAGTCTGCAGTAATTACATCAGCAGTACATCTAAGCCCTGACCTCTGTTCTGTACGTATTAATAAACCTCTTCTTTCATTAAAGATATTCAGTGTCTCTTCCTCATCAGACACAGTCAGCTCAGGCATTTTTTTCTGCTGCTCTCAGTTTTTTCTCCTTGAAGCTCAGCCAATAAAATGGCACCATTCATTAATCCTTTTTGTTTTATTGGTTTTAGCGCGGGAGAACATGACGCTCTGCTCACTTTAACTCACAATGAGAGTAAGATGAAGGGTGGAGCTCTTGTTTGATGAAGTCATTATGATAGTGTAGTTTTATGGCAGGAAAGGAAACTATTTATAATATATATAAGGATGTTTTAATCTTCAAGGTTGTCGCCCCCATTTGACTAATTAATGTCACATTAAAACGCTACATGCTGAATCACAGAGAGCTTTAAAGCTGAAGGTCAGTTTCACAAGTGTAAAGTAAGCAGAGTCTTTCTGTGGGTTTGCGCCGATCCATATATTTGTCCGGGTTAAATGTTGCTGTGTTGTGATGTCCTCTGGTGCCCCCCCACCCAGGTGTTGTACCTGCAGAGTTCAGGTCAGTATCTGACCGTGAGCAAAGGAGGAACTGTGGGGCTGCGGGACAGAGAGGACATGTCCCTCCTGCACACACATCGACTGCAAAACAGCACCGTCACACCCAAAGACCTCTGGGTCACAGACATGGTGCTGCTGCACAATGTAAACAAGGTGACTTTCACATTTAGAAACACACACACAACAAACAGCTGATCAATCAGTAAAGTTATAGATTGGTGTCCTGGTTGTGTTGCCATATCTGGGTCTTGTAGCAGAGCTTACACAACTGAAAAACTGTTTATTAATTATTGATAAATATCCTGTGTTATTAGGGCAGAGGTAAACAAGCATTTCATTCAATAAATAAATCATTGATCATTCACACTGGTTAATGGCATCGCAGACATGAAGTCATTGCATAATGCTTAGAAAATAAACATGAATTTTTCAGTAATAAGACCATCAATTATTGATTTACAGTTATACAAATACAGATTTGTGGGTAACTGATATAATGCTGTTGCATAACACACGTGAAGATTTTCCAGTTACTGTCAGCATCAATTATCAGTCAGAGGAAATCATTATAGGATCACACTGATGAGTTGAACCGCTGTCTTTCTGCTCCTAATCAACACCTTTCACTCCTCTTCTGTATTCTCAGATAGCAGTTTCTTTCACAAGTAAGGAGGTGTGTTTTTATGACTTACTATCGAAAGTGGAGTTTAGCTGCAAGTATAAACTCCAGGTAAGAGCTACATCGTTCCATTGGTTTTTAGCATTTTCTACCATCGCACTCTGGATATTGAGCTTCCAGAGTATTTATAAAATAACCTGAAAAAACGTAGATGGACATGAGATATAACATTACAAACACATAACTTCTTTTCCTCTGTAGGGTTTGAAGTTTACTCCGTGGTGTCTAGACTACTGGGTGGATCCTTCTCAACCGGATCTGGCCGTCCTCACCATAGGAGACATTGGAGGACAGGTGATACAGAATAACAGACTTTTGGCAATTACTGTGTCTGAAAAATGAAATATTTGTATCATGTTAATAACACACATATGATAATATTGTTGAAATAATACAGCTCCTCTTAAATAATTTCTGCTTCTTTCCATTCTTGTTTTGTCCCCCCTCCACCTAGCTTCATTTGTATTTTGAGTGTACCTTAAAGCTTCAGTTAAAAGCTGAGTCTCAATTAAACACAGAGTTGCTTCTACTGGCTGCAGTTGAAAATTAGCCAGCTGGCTATCTCTGGCACTTTTACAGAAATGTTGATTAATGTGCATTGTCCTTATAGATTGAATAAAGGAAAGTAAAGCTGGGTGTGGCTACACATTTTGACAAATAAACGCAGGTCCACATTAGATGCCAGGTCTGGTTGTCATTGGTTCTTTGAATGCCAAATAATTATCCATTTTTATTACTAATTTATCACTATTTAATACTTATCTTTATATATGAGCCCAGTCCTTGAATGCATCTGAATTTCGTTGTATGTTTGTACAATGACAATAAAGAAATCTGAAGATGTAAAACCTCTTGTAGCCCACTGGGTTGTTGGCTAACCGCTTGAGATGTTTAAACTTTTGCCAATATGGACATGCTACACATTATTAGCTCAGTTAATTCTCCACGCTTCAGTCGTTCAGTTCATTTTACCGTAACTACAAGCACCAAAGTATAATTCATTGAGATTTACAGGCATGATAAACGAGAGATATGTGTCCATTCCTCGATTATTAATGTTCCTGTAGTCCATAAGCGTCCACTAATCAAAAGAATCAAAACAGATTTTCTTCAATTAATCCAAGCTGTGAACAGGTTTTAAGACATTAAAGAGAGATGTTGTGTTCTCTTTTTTATACAAGAAATATTCATACTGGTTTAAATAAATAATTTGATAGTAGTTCCCATTTTTGCTGAGAGTTTTGTAATTTTATTATTATTATTATTCATTTATTTTAATTTTAATTTAATTTAACTTCTTTTTTTCTTTCTTTTTTTGAATGTATTTTTAGCATCAATTCTTGTGGCCACAATAATTTTATAGTGAAAACCTGATATCCTGCCAGCCATAGTCAGGGGTCTTTTTTGCATTTTGTATCTGCATCATCTGGATGTGTTCATCAGTCTATGGCTCCATAACTGTGTGTGTGCATGTATGTGTGCTGTCCCAGGTCAGTGCTTTATATTTTACCTCAGCTGAGATCTCTCTGTTTGAGAGACTCAGCCTGCGGATGGACTCAGACTCAGCAGACATCGTCCTGTGGGACGACCTGGTCAAAGGAAAGCATCACTGCTGTTACACTGTGACGCACCGAGCTCACGCACCTGCCTGGGTTAGAAAAGGTAGGAAATACACACATGCTTATAAAAAAGTTTACTTAAATGTGTCGTCAGGAAAAAAAAAAATCATAGATGAAAACTATAAAGTCTCTTTCTGATGATAGCCCGATGTACAAATGCACACAAGCATGTGTTTGTTGTAGCTTTGTCATTGTTTCCTCCGCTGCCCATTGCCCTGTCTCAATCCACACTTCTCTGTTTACACTGCTATTTCATATTGTATGTAGATGAAGCAGAAATTGAAGATGAGTTCCAACATGCCAAAGTATCAGAAAGCAAGTTTCATGTTTGCTAATGGGACTCAATCCTGCTGCTCATTCCTGTAACTGCGTTCACGTGGGGCTGCAGGTCAGAAATGAGTGGCTCTGATTACAGAGACACTCACAAACACACACTCTCACCTTGACACCTGCGATGAGAGCCACTGCCTGTGCTGGCTTGCTCACATTTTCATTATCGCTACAATAATGGCTTATGCAACACCATGGAAACGCTTGGGTGTGTCTCTGTCGCTGGTGTGCACACACCGACACACATGCAGCGAGTCCTGAGTCATCCACTTTATAGTCTTGCATAGCCAGACTTTTGACTATTGGCATAAAGTCACGGGCTTGAGGTCTGGCCTCCTGAGACTCCCCCACTTGAGCTCAGCCTGGGTAACAAAGAGGTCGCTTAGTTGTATCTCAATTGCATCATTCGCACAGAGCCCCTCTGAAGAGTCATTGGGCTGTTTGATAATGATTCAGCCGAGGCAGCGCTCTGAGACTAGCTTGGCTGAAAGGGGAGATCCTGATAAAGGGGGAAAACAAGAATAAAGTACATATAAATAACCACAACAAATGGGAAAACAAAGGGAAAACAAAAAAGGGGGAAATCAGAGGAGACAGTGCCAAAACATTAAAAGCGTTGCTTAAGTGAAATTTTGCAGGCTGTGTGTGCGCATGCATGCAGAACAACAAGAGAGGGTGCACACTAAGGTTTGCTGTGTGTGCGTGTGTATGTGTGTGTGGTGTTTTGAGAGTGTGAGAAAGGAAAGGAGGGAGCTTGTGCGACTGTATATGTGTGTTTGCATACCTCTGGGGTGCTGGTGCTGTTTCTTTTGAAGTTGCCCACCCTGCAGTATGAGTGGGCTGTGTACCATTAGACATGGCTGGTTATCCAGACCTCCAAACCTTCGGGCTCACGGGCCACCAGAGAGAGGAGGGGGAAGGTGCGGAGGGGGGAGGGGAGGAAGGAGGGAGGGCGGTGGAACCGAGAGGAAAAGTGAGAGGAAATTAGGAGGAAATTGGGATGGACACAGAGCTGAAAGGACAAGGAAGGAGAACTGTGGGAAGTGTGTGTGAGAGAGAAAGGCATTAACATATCTGCATAATGTTGCGATCAAAGAAGTGAAATGGACATTATGGAAAAACGTCAGCGTGTTGGTAAAATCTCCCAAAATGTGCGGCGATTTGGTGCAGGACAAAAGAGGCTTGCTTTGATGTAAATGACTCTCGCTGTTTAAATTCTAATCTCACAGCAATAAAAGTGTGTCATTACATACAACGCCGGCTAAAGCCGTATGTGTATCTGCATCACAGATAGCTGGATTTATGATTTGTGTGTGTCAGTGAAAGAGAGAGAAGGCCTCATTAATCAATGATGAGTCATGCAACGCTGTCTGAAAATCCTCTGATCTTTTAATTCACAGGCGGGAGAAAAGATGTGGTGTATGAAATGCAATCAGACGTAATTATTTGGCCTAGCAATGTGGCCGACCTCTGACCTGCGACTGTCACATGCCATCTCGCATCCCGCACTTATTTGTGCAGTATTTGAAAGCTCGGCAGCCTCTAATGGAGACGTGTGGCATCCAATTTAGCTGTTCTCAATCAAAGCGTTAATTGAGACGGATGGTGATGCAAGATCCATTACATTTTCTGTAATACCAGTGAGCAAATCAAACCGGCCCTAATTCTATGCTGTGCTGAGCGCCTGCGGATTGGTTGGTTTACTATACAGCAGGGTTGCGGTCAATGCACATTTAGCACAGCCATTTCAGAGAGTGGATGTCCTTCAGAGTTCTGGTAGTGAAAGCATTTTGGCATGAGAGGGATGAAGTAACTAATGAACAGTGTGTCATCATCAAAATGTGTTGCAATGTTGTTTTTACATTGAATTTGTCGGAGTTTAAACTTATTTATTCCCTCTGCTGGTAACTTCTGCTGCATTATTGCTCCACGCAGAGGGGCTGCTTGGAAGCCAGTGGCCTTCATTTAATGATTGTTTCCTTATTTCCTCTCTTAAACTGAGTTTGCATGAGGAAACTTAAAATCAGATCTGTGCAGATAAACATTTTAATTAAGTGGCAGTACTATTCTCTGTCAAATGGAGACTTTCCCTCTGCTCAGTCACACATTCCCACAAAGTCATGGTATGTGGATTTCTTTTTGAGATCAACCCTGTCTCCTATAAATTATGTTTGTATATTGCTAAATTGCATTCATAATTATGTTGTAGTGACAACTTAATTGCTGCCTGAATTATGCTCAGAGACAGTGTGTCTTTGAGTCAATTAAATTAATGTACCATGCTCGATTTGTAAGTAGGTGGTCAGGTTGGATAGAGGCAAAGTGCAGGACTGTGACACCAGAGTCTCGAGTTTGCTTCCAGTCTCCTGTGTGTGGTTAGGTTTAGGCAGCAAAAGCACTTTGGTTAAGGTTGGGAAAGGTTCTAAATCTTATAATAGAAAAATAGTGCTGGTGTCACCATGAGTGGATAATGTTTCGAGAATGTCCATATTGCCAGAAAACAACTGAGCAAGTGAACATTTTGTGTCAATTTTTTGCTACTTGCCAGCTATGTTAATTAGCAACATTTTCTCTTTTATATTGATAGAAAACATAATTTGTTCGGCAATACATTTCCCTCAAAAAACATGTTTGTATATAAGAAAAAAATTGTTGTATAAAAAAAAAAAGCCAATGCAGAAGTGCCAAAAACTGCAGTTCCTTCAATGGCCACTTGAGGCTGGCTCCTAAGGCGAGTAAATCCCCACAAGCCCCCCTTTCATGTGGGCGGGGTTGTTGTCACTCACTGCTCCATCCAGCACTCACTGTATTTCCTCCTTTGTCAGTCTGCACCTTGTTTATTGTCCACAGAATGAGGCAGAGTGACCGTCCTCTATTGACCAATCAACAGACGGCAGTGTTCACAGCTCCACCTTTTAGCACCAGATCTGTGTGCTAGGTACCCCAACAGAAGGGGGACCAAAAATGGGGACGGTACGGAACGATTCCATTGGTAACATCCACAACTTTTCACAGTGGGAACAGAAAAAAAGCGTACCGAACTGAACTGTACTGTATTGTACTGCTAGATGGAAACGGAGCTATAGACACCCATGTTAGAACTGGTCTCTATAGCGACTTTCAACATTCATAACAGCTGTATGGGAGGTGAATTTTTATATAACTCACCTGTTTACATCTTATTAAGGCTTAAAGTTGCACATATATAAGGGCGGGGCTGCTTGAGTGACAGGCTGTCTGTGAGGCATCGCAACAGTCTTTGCGTCAGATCCACCACTCACTCTCCACAGCATCAACCTTTTCTCAAATATGGTCACTTCTGGCTCCAACAAAACAACATGGCAATGGCCAAAATTACAAACTCGAGGCTCCGTAACAGCAGTCCACAAACAATGGATGATGTCACAGTAGCTATGTCCATTATTTTATACAATCTATGATATACATATAATTCCTAGGGGACAGAGCTGCCAAGAATACACACGTTAACCAAGTGATCTGTACTTTCAGAAGTTGGTTGCAGTTCTACATTTGAAACCAGCTGTTGCACCAGTGCTGATGCAGTGCTGATGCATTATTAACAATGGATTTCCAGAGTAAACAGCAACCACAACAAAGCAACAATTAAAACAAAGGAAAGACGAGACAAAAAGTTAATTAATTTCCCTAACTGTCTGTTTGTATATCTGTTAAAACTAATTTACACTCATTTTCTGATTCTCTCCTGCTCCCTGCAGTACGTTACCTGGGCTCACTGGAAGCCTTTGTGTCCTGTAGCACCAGACCGCAGAGCAGCATGGTGATCGGCTGGAGGGAAAAGGAAAGCAGGGGTCTACGAGTCACTTTGTTCTTTACAAAGAGGGGTGTGTGGGACATGGACCACCACCATGGACTCAACCTGATAGGTGGGTACCAGTCAAGACTTGTAATATTTACTAGTGAATAGTTCATCATTGGGATAGTTTGATGTATATAGGGTTAGGGTTAGGGTTGGGGGCTGCAGTAGCTCAGTCCATAGGGACTTGGGTTGGGAACCGGAGGGTTGCCTGCTCAAGTCCCCGCCCGGACCAAAATATGGAGCATGGACTGGTAGCTGGAGAGGTGCCAGTTCTCCTCCTGGGCACTGCCAAGGTGCCCCTGAGCAAGACACCTAACCCCCCAACCGCTCGGAGCGCCTGTCATGGGCAGCCCACTCTGACATCTCTCCACTTAGTGCATGTATAGGTCCAGTTTGTGCATGTGTGTGTTTGGACCTGTGTGTAATTGACAACAGAGTGAAAAATTGAATTTCCCCTCGGGGATTAATAAAGTATATATAAAAAAAATAAATAAATAAAAAAATATATATATAGCCTGAAATCCACAATTTGTTGGAGAGGGTGAAGAAAGTGCAAAAAAACTTTCCCCAGAAAAACTGTACATGTTTGGTTGGCACGGTGGAAAGGAATCTTTGCTACACTCACACAAAGACATAAAGAGGCATCAAAACTATCAAATGATTTTTTTGAAGGAGACTAAAATCAGCATGGTTTACTTTAATTAATTGCAGCTAGCGCTTCTGCTAATTTAGGACTCTCTGACTGGTTGCAGCCACAGCAGGTGTGGATCATCAGGTCTTGCTGTGGAACCCTTATGTGACTTCAGAGCCGGTTTGCAGGCTCGTCGGGCACACGAGCCCCATCACCGCAGTTCAGTTCATGCAGACCAAGCAACAACTGCTCAGCTACTCCAAAGATAAGGTAGGAGTGTGAGTCTGTGTGTCTCTGTGAGCAGCAGCGCTCTGCTAGAGACGATAATGTACTGATAAAGAGCCCTATCACTGTAATATTAATTGTAATACCTTGCAATAATTGCTGCAGAGGAAGGAGGCCACGGTGCAGATGATTGGTAGCCTGTTTCACACTGTTGCCATTATGAGAGCTGGTGTCTCTCAAAATGAGGACCGTATCTTTAAATCCTTCTTCTCTCTGGTGCAAAGAGGATGTTAGTGCTTGTGCTGCTTTTCCTCTCCCCCCTTGTAGCGCTGTGCATGTTTGCCTTCTCTTTGGCTTTTCTGAAGATAATGAATATTTTAGAAGTGATTTATGTTCCATCTGCCTTCTGCTCAAACACCATCTGCCATTGCAACAAACTCTGAAAGGCTTTACCTCGGCTTCCTCTGGAAGAGCTCCTGGAACAGCGACAGTCATCTTGTTGTGTACCGTAAAGCAATATAGCTGAGTCCTTGTGAATTTTGACTAAGTGGCACATTGTGCACAGGCTTCTAGAGTAGCCATTCTTCTTGGCACTTCATGTATTTGCTCTGTAATTATGATAACGTCTCGTGATATTAATTGGCTTTCATAGTTCTGAAGTACAATGTACTCATAAACTTTCCAGGTCCTGTGTCTATGGGATGTATCTCTTCAGAAGTGTGTTCACCGTCTGGCTGGTGTCTTCCCAAAGACGCAGGAGGACACACACACCATCCTGTTTCTCCACGAGGAGCGTCAACTCCTTTTGCTTTCCTTCAACAGTCTGCTTCTCCTGCTGGAGACTACGAGGGAGGAGAAGCGGACCAGCAGCCATGAGCACCCTGTTACCTGTGTGCTGTATAATAGTCTGTTCAGACAGGTACGCAGGTCAAATAGCTCCCTGAGACTTTATTTCTTTGATTTTCATCTCTTTAATTGTTTATGCTGATCTTTATCCAGACACATATGGCAAGTAGTAGGCAGCCAGTATGGTGTTTTAAACTGAACCGCAATTGATGATGCAATCTCAATTTAGAGTCCATTTATTAGCCACTCCAGAGCTTTCAGCTGTATCACACACTCTTCATCAGTAGATGGAGTTTGCCTACATGTTCAAACATCAACTTTCTTCGAACCATTTAAAGGCTTCCCATCCATTTTGTTTCTCCCCCTAAGGGAAATTTGTTTTGCAGCCAGGGTTCAGGTGCTCCGGCTTCCTCCCACAGTCCAAAGCCATGCAGGTTAATTGGTGACACTAAATTGCCCATGGGTGTGAATGTGAGTGTGAATGGTTGTCTGTCTCTATGTGTCAGCCCTGTGATAGTCTGGTGACCTGTCCCGGGGGTACCCTGCCTCTCGCCCAATGTCAGCTGGGATAGCTGACATTGGGGACAGCTCCAGCGACCCGCAAGAGGATATGCGTTTACGAAAATAGATGGATGGATGTATCAGTGTGTCCTGTGCACCCATTTCTGAATAAAGAGCCAAACTCTTGCTAAAAAATGTAATTTAATTAGATTTAATTCTAAAAAAAAAAACTTCACGGGGAAGCTATTTGTAACAGTTTGCACATGGGAATTTTTAGTGTGTGACACATCAAAGGCCCTGATTGGCAGCCAGTTTGAGGGATGATATCATTTAAAAGGTGAAAGCCGTGAGCGCGACAAAGGATTCCTTTATTGCACAGAGCAAATTACAACAAAGCACCAGTAAAGACGACCTACCACCGACAGAAAAGAGAGAAAAATCTGTCAGTAGACAGCATCACGAAAGCTACTCTTCTTTCTTTTCTTATATGTTTTATTTTATGTCGTGATAAGAGTGAAAACATGTTATAGAAGCTATTATGCACAGATATAAATACAGGTGTGCCTTGAGATTTTGGCTTGCCCTTTAGTGTGCCTTGGGCACAAAAGTAAAAACCACTAAATCAACAGAGCAATGGAAATTCATATCATACCAAGTAGGCTACACATGAGCAAGAGTGCAAAGTTCAAGTGTGAGAAGAACGTGCGAGGAATACAGCCAGAGTGCTACTGCTATGAAGCATATCAACAGCACTTGGGATGAAGGACACGTGAAATCTCTTGGTGCTCCTAACAGCTGCCCTGAAACAACGTCCAGGGGGCAAAACGCTTAAATTCATCCATGAGTGGAAGGTCATGGATGAGTTTAGCATTAGTCCTTCGAAGGACCTGCCTGTTATAAATGTCTAAGAGTTGGATCTGACTCCTCCCTCTGCCTCCTCTGTGAAATCTGACTGCACACTTTGACAACACTTCCAAGTCTGTTCTTACTGGACATATTTAAATTAATAAACCAAAAATTTAAAACAGATTCCATGAAACATCTGTAAAAGAGAGTCATGACCTCAAAAGCAATGTAAAAAGACTTTACCTTACTCAGACAAAAGTCTCTGGACCTTTGTGGAGGTAGTATCAACCATGGAATTTCAACGTCTGTTTTCAAGAACAATACCCAAATATTTGTAGCCACCCACTGGGTCAGTGTCAACAGCTTTTTACAACAGATGGCAGTGGGCATGGTGGTGACCTTCTGAAATTAATGACCATGCCTTTTATTTTTGACACATTCAGAAGGAGGAGAGACTCACCACACCGAGTCATCCATCACCGACCCATGATCCCGAACCTCCCCTTCAAGAAGGCCAACAATAACAGAGTCATCAGCAGACTTTAAGATGTGTCTATTTATTCTGGCTGCTGCCACAACTATCAGTGTACACGATGTAAAGAAGGGGGCAGAGACAGCATCCCTGATAGTTTGTTTATGAAGATCATATAAGCTACAGAACAGCTACTAAATGGACCTTACGTGAAATTGTTTGTATCACGTAATGTGCTGACTTCATTAAACCTTTTTGGATGCTGCCATGACATCGATGTTTTCTCCTAAATGTATGTCATTATTGTGACCTCTTCCTTATATTGTTCCCTTTAGCCCTCTCTGTGATGGATTTAAACCCGACACAAGTTTCTCACACAGTGTAGGAAGTAAGGAAATAGCTAATATATTCAATATGAACATCTTTCATTTTAAAAAGTGCATTCACTCCTGATTTTGTTTTTCTTCACCCTGCTTTTATTCCCACTTGACAGCAGCATTAGTCACATATTTTCCTCAGACGTGACTTAGCACTGAAATAAAGTGTAACGAAGTGTGGAGAATTGTTTGGCTTTTTGAGAGTCATTAAAGAATACATCAGTGGAACCTGCCGTGCTCGCAGCACAGACAGGATCAAACTCCTTTTAATGATTGATACCCTTTCTTTCTCGCTCTCTCGCTCTCCCTCTCTGCAGGTAGTTAGCAGTGACTCTGCCTCCTCTGTGATCTGCTGGCTGGCTGACACAGGCCAGAAGGTCAAGCAGTTCCACCGTTGCCACGGCAACGCCGAGATCTCTGCCATGGCCCTGGATGGTACGCAGACCCGGCTGTTTACTGCAGGCGCTGACGGAGAGGTCAAAGTAGGTGGGCACACACACACACACACACACACACACACACACACATGCACACCCTCGTTCAGCTGTGAACCGTGTAGCTGCAGGTCGATCCTCATAGAGATGCAAACTCTGAAATGAGTTTAAAGACAAGATGTGAGGCGAAAGGTGAAGTGCCAACTGTTAGAAACCACAAGAATTTCAAACTTGTAATTTCTCCTACAAACGAAACACTTCACTGAATTGTTGTAATTTGTCACTCTATGGCTAAATAAAAAGGGCACCAGCTGCATGCGGTGCAGGGTGCAGACGTTTTTTTAGCACACAGGACAGCTTATATGGCACGGCACTGCGTTTTATCAATGGAAAAGCAACGTGGAGGGCACTATTTTATTAAATTTATTTGTGTATGCGATCATGAATTGGATCACGTGGAACTTGTTTAAATGATCGAGGGAACCCTTAAGCCCAGTTCAGACCAACAATTCATGACAAGACAAAACTGTTTTAGAACATTGCGGAGAAAAGTTGCAGTGGTGTGAACTGGCCGGTCTCAGCTCGACTCAAGCCGGCTGATGGTGTCACCTGCACCTCAGCTGGTCTAATCGTCGGTGGCTGGTTTTAGAAGGTAAAGCACGTCACCTGTTTCAACAGCCAATCAGCTTGTGGTGAAGTCCGCTGATCAAGTCAAAATGACCACAGATTGCGTGTTCACTTGCTGTAGCAGGTGCTCTGTCCCCACCAAGCCCTGTGTTTCCGTCCTCATGTGTGGCAGTGTCGGACTGTGGATTGCTGCTGCTCGCTGTATGTGCTTAAGCCCCCCTCATGCACACACATTCTCATTGACTAACTAATTGGCGCTGCTTAGATATATTATTGTGGCATATTGATTATGAATACAGTCCATCTGATGCTTTTTGTTTTTCACCTTTCATCACTACTATAAATCCTGCTGTAGCCAGTATCTCACTATCACGATCCTCATTCATATTTTTATAAGCTACAAATTATATTCAGCCACAAAATAAGCCTGAAAAGCTGCAAACAGAGCGGTGGTACAGAGAGTTGTTGCATAGAGATGATACACTGTCTCAGCGAGTTGCATTGGGGTGAACCAGCAGGTTTTTAGAACGGTGCATTGCAAGTAGCTGCCTGTTTCAACCCGTTTTGTCATGGAGCTTTGGTCTGAACTTGGCTTTAAAGCTTCTGTTTATGACATTCAGAGCAAAAATATAGCAGCTATCAGCTATTTGTTATGTAAAGATATGGCTAACTAGCTAATTACCACAGCTCTGCACATCACTTATCTGGCAGGAGGGGCCGGTAACCGCTGATAATGGCGACACTTGCATTGCAATAGCATAATTCCCACCCTCCTTTGCTGCCCAGGTTAACACCATCAGGTCTGTCAGCACTGTTGACGTTGATAGCATTGTTCACACTGTTAGCACCGTTCGCTGCTAGCACCGTTAGCTGCTACCTGCCAGCCCAGCCACCTCCTTGTTGAGATCTCTGCACACCACTCCAGCTCAGGCTGTGAATCATAGATATACTCTGAATGTCGTATACAGCTCTTTTAACAATGCATGTATTAATGGATATTATTTGTTATTAACCATGCCACCGCTGTTATGATTGGCATATTGTCATTGTTAAGATAATGTATGTTTGATTACGCCAGATGTGGTTTTACAATAAATACCATCTTTGGCATGACTCTGCAGAAGGGGCAAGTTTCTACATCTTCCAGGAGGAGGCACTGTAGACCTTTGGTAATGTGTTCCCTTCCACAGCATTTACCAACCACTTATCTTTTTTTAATCTTTTAAAGATAAAAAACAAACACAACATTTACTGCACTATGTGTTGTAAAATCATATTAGTTGTATCACATTTGCATATGTATCAGACAGCTGTACTGGTGTGACAGTCTTATGTCAGTATCTGTACAGCCACAAGAGCGGCATACCAGTCTCAAGTGCTACCTCAAGAAATTGTATGTGTCAGTGAAAAATTATTGACATGTTTGTGAAGGCCGGCGTATTTGTAATCAACAGTGACGCACCACGAAGATATCGGCACATGCCTCTCAAACAGAAGTGGCACACCAGCAGCCACTCTTTGATCTTGGTGCTACTGTATGCTTTTGAATCAGCGAGATAGTGTGTTTGGTTATGCATGTTGACACCATGCATAATGAGTGTTTGTTCTCATTTTTCCATTTTAGAAAACAGTTATAGTCTCCTCTGTCTGTACCCTCTCTAATTATGTGTGTGCATATGCAAGCATGTGTGTCTTCTCTGGGCAGAATAGTGTCGAGCACAACTTTTTTTTTTTTCCTGTGAGTTTCAAATTTGGTTGGTATTCCAAACAAGTGGTGCTCTGTGACTGTATTTGCACTCCACATTTGAGCACTGCATAATGACTCCAAGCTCGGCGCAATTGTTCTCAACAGATGAGTAAAATAATTATGCATATTATAATCAATATAATCAACCACATCAGCTCTCTGACCCCATGAGCCCTTGTGAGGATGCAGCCATGTGCATCCTGTGCATGTGCAAGCAGTGTCAGGTATACACTCACAGTGCCATTTGGAACAAGTACACAAGTCGTCCTCAGCAGAAGAAGCAGGCACCCCTTGGGCCAAATTGGAACAAGATGCATCATCTCGCCAATTTTCATCAACACTGAACCCGTGGTGTAGCAGTTAGGGCCATTCAGAATTTGAAATTTTGACCTTTTAATTACAGCGTTCCCATTGGGCCAATCAGTGTTTCTTTGTTAAATGCCACAACACGCACAGATCCGAAATGCGTCATCATCCAAGATTGGACAGGCAGTGTGAAATACTACCTGAGCTGCCATGTTTGATTGATGTACAGTAGGATAGTGACTTGATCATGTGTGTTCTCACATAGGAGGCCAAATATTCTGATTTCAAAACATCTTGCTTTCACTTTTTGAAAATAACAAGCAGTTGGACTTCTCCCAGGTGTAAACACAACTGTTACTATTTCTGTTACCTCTTTGTTTCCCAGACAAGAAAATATTGGGAATGTTAGAAGAGTGACACATACAGTTTGTATGGAAACATGAAGGTGACATATTGGGTGGTGTTCTCTGTTGGCATTAACCTTTGCTTTTAATGGAGCTGTATATGATATTCAGAGCATCTATTATTAAAGCCCAGTTCAGACCAATGATTTGTGACAATACAAAGCTGTTATAGAGAGAGAAAAGTTGCATCTGTGTGAACTGGCCGGTCTGAGCTCGACATCAGAGCAAAGGAGAGAGAGTGTTGCATAGAGATGATACACCATTTTGCATTAGTGTGAACCGACAGGTCTTTGGAATGTTGCTGAACTGGGCTTTAGAGTCTGAGCTGGGATTTTCCGCACACAGCTCTCAACATGAAGATGACTGAGCCAGTGGCTAATTGCTTACAGTGTGAGCAGTAGCTACTAACAATGGCAACAGCGCTGACAGAGCTAAACTTGTAAACCAAGGGGTATCAGTGGTAACTGCTGTATGTGTTCAGTGCAGAGCTGCAGTGATTAGCTAATCTGTGGGATATACACACAGGGACTCAGGCGCACTCACATGCCTGCACAGCTGAATTGGCTTCAAGAAACTTGGATTACAACATGTGACTTCACTCTCTGCTCAGGACATTGTAACTCGCTTATATTTCTACATAGCAAATAGATTGCTGCTATATGAATGCTCTGAATGTTCTATACAGAACCTCCAGTTCAGACCAAAGATTTGCGACGAGACAAGTTGAAACAGACACCTACTTGCAATGCGCCATTTTGCAACTTTCTAAAAACCTGACGTTCACACCAATGCAACTAGATGAGATGGTGTATCATCTCTATGCAACGACTCCACTCTGTTTGCAGCTTTTCAGGCTTATTTTGTGGCTGAATATAATTTGTAGCTTCTTAAAATATGAATAAGGATAGTGATAGTGAGATACTGGCTACAGTTGCATTTGTAGTAGTGATGAAACGGCGAAAAACAGAAACAAAACGAGCATCAGATGGACTGTATTCATAATCAATATACCACAATAATATAACCACCATCCCACACCAGCACCACATAAGGCTGGAAGCAGAGGGCTCAGCGTGGATGGAGCACCTGCCACAGCAACCGAACACACCATCTATGGTCAACTTGACCAGCGGACTTTACTACAAGCCGATTGGCTGTTGAAACAGATGCTTTACCTTCTAAAACCAGCCACAGGTGATTTGACCAGCTGAGTTGCAGGTGACACAATCAGCCGGCTTGAGTCGAGCTCAGATCGGCCAGTTCACACCGCAGCAACTTTTCTCTGCAACGTTCTGAAACGGTTGTGTATCATCGAGAACTGTTGGTCTGAACTGGCCTTAAGGTTCAAGTTCCATGTGATCCAATATATGATTGGTTTCCCACAAATGAATAATGGCAACAATATGGTTAGATGGCGTTTTGTTTTTGTTATCGTTCAGTCAGACTGGCTACATGGCTAGGCTAGCTACAGCTATTTTAGCTAAGGCTAAATATGGAATCATTTTACAACCAGTGGTAGAAAACCATTGCCCATAGGCTAACAGACAAATGGACAAGAGTTACTCAATGTATTTATTTCGGGGGCATTTGTAAAACAATTCACCAATGACGGTATATTGATAATCGCTGCACAAATGCCCTCTTGTCACTATGGTTGATAAAACAAGGAAGGGCCCTCTAGGGTGCCTTCCTCGTGGATAAAATACAACAAAGAACACGGAAGTTTGGGTCAACACACATAGGGAACGTGACTTCATTGCAAACACTTGTTTGCTGCTATATCAATGACCTGAATGCCACATACAGCACCTTTAAATAAAGCACATCTAGTGCTGTGATAGCGCTTTGAGTGTTATTTGTGCTGCAGGTGTGGGACTTCAATGGCCGCTGCCTCCACAGAATGAATGCCGGCCTGGGTCGGGCTGTGGAGATCTCACAGGTCCTGCTGCTGAAGAGGAGTATACTGGTGATGGGCTGGGAGAGGTACTTAAGATGTGTGCATTTACGTGTGGTTACTTACCCTGTGTGTCACTCAAATATTGGATACAACACCAAATGTGTGATGCTGAAAAACTTCCAACTGTGTACAAATTTAAGACCCAGGTGAGCATAATGAGTTTTGATGCAGTAGCACCCTGATAGACTGTGTATGTTTACACACTGTGTATGAAAGAGACTGCACCTGTCAAAGAGTCACAATGAATATGTGTGTATGTGAGAAATACCGTGTGTGTGTGCATGTGTGTGTTTCTGTCCTCTCCTGCTCCCTCTGCCTGCCAACGACTCAAAGCCAACCAGACATCTGGACTCTAACGAGTATCGCTACCTCACATTTGTGTGTTTCTGTGTGTGTGTGTGTGTGTGTGTGTGTGTGTGAGAGAGAGAGTGAGTGTGTTTCTTTTTATACCCACATCACATCTGCTCTTCATCTTCATCTTCATCATTTCACACCCAGTGAGCTCAACTCAGCAGTGTGCTATCATCAAGTTATACGACTCCCTCTTTCTCTCTCTTCTCCACATGCGCACACCAACTCACACACACTGTCTTGCTCTCTGGGGTGTCACAGCGGTAAAGAGAACACAGACGACAGATCAGCAGCAGTAAAAGAAAATACTGCCGTTATGACTTTCATCACTCATATCATTTCCTGTTTCTTCACATCCACCTAGACCACAGTTTAATCCATAGTGCTGTGTCGCATGGTATCTAATTCAAAGTCTGATTGCCTTCTGCTGCTCATACAATCTCATGCGGGCTGATATATCCCCATCCAACTGATACACACATTCCTCAGTTTGAAACAACAATGCATTATCTTTTTTCAGTTCACATACACTACCTGCACAACAAGAACAAACAAGAAAAGAAAAGTGCTGTCATGAGATGTAACAAAAGACTACACAAGTAGAACATATAGCAGGTGTGCTGAAATCCCTGTTTCACATGCATGGTGTCTGTTGGTCACTGTGGTGTATGAGCACAGCTTCCATGTTTATTTCAAACACTGACTTGATGCAGAGCTGAAGCAAAGCTTGAATCTGTTGCAGGGAAAATATGATTTATACTAAAATAATCACACACATCATCCCAATGATGCATTAGAAAATAATAATAATGTATTACATAATCTGCTAAATACAGTATGTGCTGGTAATAATCTGTCTCACTTAAAATGGTCCAAAATATGAGGAAATGTGAACAGTTCATTTTAGAGTAGAAAATCTGAAAGTTCTTAGCCCAGGTTTAAAATGTCTAATCTCACAATGTACATGTTGTGCTACTACTACTACTACTTCTACTACTACTATCACTGCTAATGCAATTACTTGGATTTCTACAGCTACAGCTACAGCTACGATATTGCTATTACTCCGACTGCTCCTAGTAGGCCTGCTACATCTACTACTGCTACTATTACGTTGCTGCTCCTGCTACAGCTATTACTATTACTACTACTATGACTGCTTTGACTATGGGGCAGCTGTTGCTCAGAGGTGGAGCAGGTCTTCCACTAATGGAAAGATCTGCAGTTTGATCCCTGGCTCCTCCAGTCCGCATGTTGAAGTATCCTCGGGCAAGATACTGAAGCCCAAATTGCTCCCAATGGCAGTTTCATTATGTGTGTAATGCACTATACAGACGGGATTAGTTTTACATGGGCACGTGGGGTAATGTCACTTTACCACAGGACGTTGGTAATATTAATGGCCAATTCGCACGGGATAAGAAATATCAGTAAAACTACCACAAGTGGGAGGGGTAAATCCATTCACGTACCGCCGTCCCCTCCTGCCGTCATGTGCATATGACGTTGCTTCCTGTGCGTACCACACTCGAACACACTTGAATCGTGTTTGTCGTAGGCCCACAGTACCTGAGGTTTCACACGGACTTGTCTGACTGTTAAGTGCAAAACTGAGTGCTTCTTCAAGAGCCTCCATGCTTGAAAATCCGCGAAAAACCACGTGTAAACAGGATATGACGAAATATCTACACACATACTTACTGCTGGTCTATTTGCACGGGATTAGTATTACCTGAGGTAATTTCCCGGGACAGAAGGTAAAAGTCACGGTAATCTTTGCTGACATCGTGCGGTAATGATAACTGACATGGCACATTCGGACGGGACTAAAATCTCTGGTAATTATTACTTTACCCCACGTACCTATGTAAAACTAATCCCGTCTGAATGGGGTGTTAAGCGTGTTTGAATGGTTACTGAGTAGCAGGTGGAGCCATGTGTGGTAGCCTTAGCCACCAGTGCATGAACGTGTGTGTGAATGGATGAATTTGACGTAGTGTAAAAGCATTTTGAGTGGCCTGGAAGACTAGAAAAGTGCAGTCCATTTGCCATTACTATTATCTGCAACTGTTACTTCTAGGTCTAATATCACTCATATTACTATTACTACTACTATTGTAACAGATATCTTCTGCTAATATTACTATTACTAATACTGCCACTGCCATCACTACTATTACAGCTACTTATACTGGTGTTACTACTACTACCTGTAGTATTAAGGATAATAACAACAATGTATAAGATTAAAACAGATCACTTATTCATACACCAACATATACTGTAAAGAAAGTCTATGAAGTCTGTGTATGTATCACACCTTTTATACCTTCCCTCCCTCTCACCACCTCCTCTCTGTGTCTCTCTGTAGGATGTTAACAGTTTTCCGACTGCATTCCTTCTCGCAGTCTTTTGTCGAACCGTCAGAGTGGAAGGGAGGCGTTCAGCATCGCAGTGATGTGCTCTGTGCTGCATTCCAGCCTCCACAGACTCTGGTCACAGGTGTGTGTGTGTGTGTGTGTGTGTGTGTGTGTGTGTGTGTACATGATCGGCACTTTTGATACTGACAGGAAAACTAAAAAGACAGAGTAAATTTAAAGATGACACACTGTTTACCAACACACTTTGTTAAGTAACTGACTTATTGTGAGTGCTTTGTTAACTTAGATTTTAACCGAAGTGTACCAAATGACGCAAGGATGCACGTGTGTGTGTACTCCTGTGTGCCTGTGTGTTCCCTCCTCCCTGTAACACTTTTATGACTTAAATTAAGAGTGAGGGCTCCTGCAGAGGAAGGAAAGAGAGGAAACATAAAGACTAAGACTAAGAAATAAAAATGAATTAAAAAAATAACTGGGGGCAGTTATTTGCTGATTAAAGTAAGTGGTGTTGTTATCAAAGGACTGGTGCGCCGCACGTCCCTCCCTGCTGGAAATAGCTCTGTGTTTTCATGTGTGCCTGTGCACGTGTGCGGGCAGAGACTTATTATATTTTAGCCTTCACACTCAAAAGCGCAACTGTGTTTGCACGTGTGCTTTTACAGCCTTTGCAGACCTATGAGTGCGCACTGCAGCTGTGTTTGTTTGCACCCTGCATTTTATCATTTTCAGTAACATTTCAACAACATTCACATTATATATACAGTAAAAAAAACAGTTATAAGTGGATTAAAAATGATCTAATTAGAAACACCCTGTCTGTTTTTTGCACGTCTGCCAAAACCTTTTAAGTCAGAGTTCTTCCCTGCTGTCCTTTGTTCACCACACTGCAGACAGATACAGTATATTAGATGTTTTTTTAGCAGTTTATTTCATAAATCAGTATTTGCCTCCTCAGAGGAGCAACACTCTTATCCTTTTTTCCTACTCCGAGCTGACATTTGCTTCCACCACAGGCCGAAACCTTTACATGTCAAAGCCCATTAATTGGCAAGTTCTGTCCTAATTAAATTCTTAATTAGAGCCATATTAAAGGCAGGTGAACTGAAAAGGTCAAGCAGTATATATGAAAAAAAAAGCACGTACAGTACTCAGCACTCACACTCCTCTAATAAGAGAGAGATCAAGATGTATTTCCAATAAAAATGCTACAAACACTTCCTCCTAGTTGTGTGTGTGTGTGTGTTTGTGCAGCAGCAAGAGAAAGAGAGGTAAAATAACCATGACTAAGCACTACCCACAGAGAGCTGGGAGGGACAATTACTCAGACCAACAAATTTCTTTTTTTGTCAGACCAGCAGGGGTGGGTGTTTTTTGTGTCTATATTTATTACCTGACCAAGGGTATTCCTTGAGTCAAAGTGTTGGGGGAAAAAAAGATAAAATCATACATTGCTGAAAATTATCCAGAATTACCATCAAAATGATCAGGCAAGTGATCAGCGCATGGATTCATTGGTGTGAAATGCAAATGACTCACACATGTAAAATCAGTAGTAGTCCTAAAATCGTAGCGGCGCTTATTAAAATGCAGAAATGCTGGGCCCCTCTGGCTAATGGAGGAGCAGACGAGGAGGGTTTTCTCTTCTTTCAATCATTCTATTTCTTTAATTCATCCACTTCTGAGCTCATACAAACTTTGGAGCCAGTCTCCAAAAGTTTGTGAGCATGATTTTTACAGGTTTTTTTGTTTCTTTTTGGTTTGGTTGGTATGATTTTGTGGATTTTGGCGTTTAACCCTGTGGCGATTCATCTGGTTTGCCAAGCTGTCACATCCAGCTACTCAAGACTCACATTTGCCATTAACCAAAGACACAACGTTACATAAAAATCAAGAGAAGACAGGCAGAATGTCCCAGTCTGTGAAGGTCTTTAGTATGCAAAGATGGGATACTTTAAAATACCATCAAGGCGCCTCAGTACTCATCACATCCTCAGATTTTTCTGCCTGGGGGATTGAACTGGCAATCCTCCAGTCACTGGTCCACTTCTATAACCATCAGACTACAAACACTCTGCACCCAATTTGCCCCAGTATGCTCTTCAGTTTGTGAAGTTGTATCACTTTGGCTCACACACACTAAAAGTTCAGTTTCAGTTTACCTGCAGCCTGAGCGTGCAGAGCGCAGACATAAACTGCAGACCCTCTCTGGCCTTCTGGGACGCGTCAACCCCAGAGATAAGTATAGAGAGCGATAAAGTGAGGGATGGAGGTGGAAAGGTAGATAAGAGTGGGTGTTCTCGAAGCAGGAGGGAGAAATGGTTTGGAAGGAAATGAATAGCTGGAGCTGGAACAAAAGCGCAATTCAGAAGCTACTTTGTGAACTTGGAAACTTCTTCAAAGTTCGCTCCCCAATTTCTTTGTCGGTGTGTTCGTCTCCTCTCTCTGTCTGCTTCTTCTCTTTTTTTCCCCAGTCTCTAAGTGACACTCCCTGTTCACTCCTGTTTATTTTTTACCTCTTCTCCCTAGTTAGCCCGCTGAATTTCTTTCCAACACACACACATGCAGCCAAATGCTGCACCCGCCACCTCCTATTTAATCCAAATGCCCAATTTAAATTATGTTTATTAGAACTCTCAAAGTGGGAATGAGGGGAAATGAGACATAGTGCTTTCTGTCTTTAAAGCATGTGTGTGTGTGTGTGTCTGTGTGTGTGTGTGTGTATGTTATAAGGCTGCAGAGGTGGGGGTTTGTATATGCTAGAAAGAGAGAATTATGTACGTCAGTGTGTTTGAAGGTGTGTTTATTTGCGTAGCTATCTGAAATGTGACAGCGTGGTTGCATTTCCGGGCTTAAAGCGAATCACTGAATCCTTTTATTAATAGTTGATGCAAGACATTGACAAAACAAAAACTGTGATTGAATCTTTTGGAGTTTTCCAGCGAGAAATCCCCCTTTATCTGTGATTTATTTCTCAAACTCCGATGAATACAAATGTTTCACCTCAGTCTAAGCAGCACTCTACCTGATCTTTGGCTTATGATTTCATAAAAATAGACAAAAGATGATTGTTTATGAAGACTTTATGGGTGCCAAACCTGTGATCCTGCAGTTTTTGTAAAGGTTTTCAGAGGTTCTGGTAGACAAAAAAAATTATGAAATGATGTAATTCATTCATAAATTCCTCCTACGCTTTAATATTATAAACGTATTGTGCTCTTATTCTCTGGCCTTTGGGCAAATGTGAAAGAAAGATGAATCACAATCACGTCCCGATTCCCAACGTCTCCACACTTATCCACTCGCACACCATAAAGCCAAAGGTGGATGTGAGCTATCGCCGTGTTATTTTCTGCATTAACTATTTTTTGCTAATTCTTTCTTGCCGAAATCCTTCAAGCACAAAGACAGTGTCTAAAAGCGATGACGCATTAGTTTCAGTTGCCAGCGCATTTCTTCAGGGTTCTTCAGTAATGCTGTTCTCACATCAAAGCATGTGTGCTGCCAAATAATGTGTTAATTATGTGCCAAGTGAAAGCAGCAGTGGCATCAAGGCCACCAGTGACAAAAGTCAATTTAAAGTTCTGTTGGACACACACATACTCAGGACTAAGTGTGCGTGCATGTGTGTTTTTTTTGTGTGTTCATGCATCTGTTTGTTTGTGTCTCAAGTTGAATCAAGTTGCAGCAGAAACATTTGGCTGATGTGGGACTGAAGCCTCCTCATCCATATTCAGAGACTTTGCTAGGTTCCGCTTGGCTTCTCACACACAGACACTGTCAAACACACACTCACACACACACACACACACCCAGCAGGGTACATGTACACAGGGGTCCTGTGTACCTCCCTCAGTCACAACCTCCCCCCCTTTCCAGTCTTCCTTCTTTCCTCAGATCCCATAATCCTCCATGGCTGAACACCTTCCAAGCGACCGTGGACCAAGTCGTCTGAACTTTGATGGACAGCCAAAAATGTTTTAGAAATGGAAATGTGAGCGTAGACATCAGAACACTGAATGACAGCAAGGACATCTTTTTCAAGCAGAGGATGTTCTGATTTATATGTACCATATATTTAAAATCGCGTTCTTGACAAGTTAGTGAGTCAAAGGGGAAGATGTTTAAAGTCTTTGGAGGCCCCGGAGGGAGCTGCGTGATGTCCGATAATGTCCTCAAGTGATGTCACTTGAGTCAGCGTCTATTAGGTCTGGGTGTGGTTGTGAGCTTACCAGACTGCCTGTCGCATTCTTAGGGTTTCAAATATGGCAACCTGTTCAGTTATCTGTCGGCATCCTTTAGCATCTGTATGAGATAAACTGGGCTGTCAGCTGACTCCAGTGTAAACCCATTTGTGGCATTTAGGTAGTAGAAAGAGCTAGAAAGTCCGAGTCGGGAGGGTGGGTGCAGTGGTGGGTAGGTCAAACAATCACAGGACTTTCACCCAGGAGACCGCTGTTTGTGTCCTGTGTGAAACGTGGATTTTTTTAAAAATTCAACTACATTTTGTAGTTAAGACATAGGTCTTGTGACATACATACTCATTCACTTAATTAAAGGAGCAATGGAGGGATTTAGTGCCATCTATTGGTGAGGATTGCAGACTGCAACCAGTTGAAACTTCTCCTGGTTAGAATTGCTTCACTTTTCCTTGTTCAGGATGTTTTTACTGGGAGCTGAATTATCCGCAGTGGTCTCCTCCTGTCCAAAACAAATGGACCTGGTGATTTAAACTGGTAAAACACTTCTTGTTGTAGAGGGGCTGCTAGTTACGTTGGCTGACACAAAAATGAGAATGGCCCTATCTAGAGCCAGTGCTGGGTTTGTCCATTCTGGGCTACTGCAGAAACATGGCAGTGCAATATGGCGATCTCCATGGATGACAGTCTGCTCCCCATGTAGATATAAACAGCTCTTTCCAAGGCAATGGAAACACCTCAGCTCTTATTTTCAGAATATTTATTACATTATATTCAATATCTAGCAAAGTCCAAACCATGGTCTTTTTTCTAAACCTAACCAGGTAGTCTTGTTGCCTAAACCTGAAGTAGTTCTTTAATCTTTCCTGTGGACATGGATTTTTTTAAAAAAAGAGACTATGCACAAAAGGAAACTGAGATGAAACAGACATGCCAGCCCTGAGCATCCAAAACTGATGCTAGAGGGGTATCCAGAGCATCATAGTTGGAAGTGTAGGGCCACTGACCAAGCTGACATATTTGATGAGTTGGGAGTGAGTACGTGTTGTATCAGACCTCTGTGGCCTGCTTTTTGTCTCCGCTTGAGGCTACATTAGCTGCTACTGGCATTAGAATCTCAATATTTCCTGGTACAATGGTTGGTATGATTTCCAACAAATTAGTGCCAGATGAATTGCATCTTTACATTATATACTTACCATTACGTTAGGTACCTGAAGTAAAATAACTTAGGTTAGGTTTAGTGAAGTAAAGCTACTTAGGTAAGGTTTAGAAAGGAAACATGGTTGGGCGTCAGCATGTTACGTATTTAATGTAAAGTTACGTAGGTAGGTTTTAGGGGAAAAAACAAGGTGATTACGTACCTTAAATAAAAAAAAGCTATCCACTGTGAACATCAACATGTATCCCTGTGTCTCTAGGCCTCTGTGCTGTGTATGTGTGGTTTCCGGTTTTAGTGTATAAGAGAACTTATCAAAAGTAATGAAGGTGATGTTCATCCAGCTCCTCTTTAAAGCTTAACATTGTATAGATGATGCGGATATTTACACCCTCTCACCCCCTTTATCTCTCCGTCTCTCTCACGCACAGACACACAGCGTGATAAAAGCCACTTGAAATACAGACGCTAGCCCTGGGACGCATGAATAATGCAGGCAACCCACACTCTCATAAACTTTATACCTCCTATTGCTCCCACCCTTAGCTAACACACTCCTCACATATCTCATTAACTCCTGCTGTTCAACTGCCGAACCACCTGATGAGATTCCTGCCTCATATAATAAACACACACACACACACACGCACACACACTTTCTTATATATAATGCAGATTATTTGAAAAGCACTTCCTGTTGAGGTAAATGTTGAGTGCTGGAACAGATGGTAGCTGAGGACAGATGTTGAGTTTTATCATCTTTAAAGTGGTTTTAGAGGCTGGCTTGCATGATTCAGCAGCACAAGGAGAGTAAGAGGGTGTGTGTTGACACAAAGTTTGTGTTAATTGTTTATAATTATTTTTAAAAATGCTCTTCCTGTTTCAGTGTACTTAGTTTGGCTGTTATTTTTTGTTGATACATAAACGTCAAAAAGCAGTGTTGAATTTTAGGAGATGATCATGAGCTCTGTCACTTTCTTGGGTCTCATTTCTGATGTGTGCAGGAAGCTATGACGGAGAGATTATAGTGTGGAACAACAGCACTGAAAAAGCTCTGAGGAAACTGCGGCCACATGCTGAACACAGAGAAGGCAAGAAGTCTCATTTTCACACACAGATGCGACTAAATTCAGCAAACACTTTATTCGCAATTGTAAAGCTAAATGCTTCCCGATCCTCTGCCTGTGGTTTGTCTTTTTGCCAGTCTGTTCTTTCAATGCTTTGTTCAACTCTGATTTTCTAGGTCATTTCACCGATTCTGCTCTTTGTGTGAACAGTAAAGAAAACTCGGATAACTCTGATGCGATCACTGCATTGTTCTTCATATCAGAACGCACAACTGCTGTTGCAGCTGCAGGTGAAAAATTGAGACAGCAACTGTGTAATTCTTATCAACCTTAGAGTGTGTGTTGTTTGTTAAAATAGGCCCTTTAAGATGCATAATCTTTGAGTAACAATGTTTGGCAGCATCTCCTCAGGAGCTATCCCAAAATAAAAACAGTGATTACAAAGCAAATTCTTTTCACCCCGGTACATTCTGTATTTTGACCTGAGTCACAATGTTGCTCAAATTAACGTGTCATCTTTTCCAAAAATGTTGCCTGTTTTATTATAGCCATAAAACCTTTCCAACTCTGAAACCAGGAGGTGATTTGCCTTTTTATTTTGAGGCCAGAGCCCATTTAAACACTCATTCTGTCTGTATACTGTAGTTTGAGTTGTTATGTGAGAGCCTGCGATTTGAAGAGTTATAGTTGATGCAAACACAGTGAAGTAACTTCAGAGTTGAAAGAGTTCCACCATCAAAAGCCTTTCTTAAATGCCAGATACACTGCATATACAGCTCTGTTTTTGTTGTTGAAATACACAGTTGCACACTTGTGTTTACACATTCTAAAGAGGCTCCGGGTATCTTGTGCTAAGTTACTGTACGGTAGCTACACATCAATGATTGTTTGATGTGATGAGTTTGCTTCAAGTTTTCCCATTTTTAACTACTTTTTATATGCAGCCATTGAAGCTGTGAACTTTGTTTTTCTTTATTTTAACTATACCCGTGGTTGCTTATGCTTTTATTTAAGTTTGATTATTTTTTTTCTCTCAAGTGTTATTCCTGCAGTATCTGCTGCATCTGCTAGCTGTAGCTGTTTAGCTGCTTGGTACAAAAGAAAAAAAAAAAGCCTGGCCTTTATGCCTGCTGCTCAGACTCACTGAGGCAAGGATGTGTGTGTGTGAGTGCCTAGCAGAACAGAGTCGCTGTCAGTAGAGCAGCAAATCTAGGAGCTTCCAGTGTCCCTGATCCAAATCATTTTCGAAGCCTGGACCACCAAATTCTAATCAGTTCATTCTTGTGTCTAAGTTGACATTTGTGCCAAATTTGAGTGAACTTTTTTATTTCCTGTATTAGTTTAACACATCCAACTTTAATATATGTGTGCAATGTTCGTCACCTTAGTGAGGGGGATGCTTCCCAGCTCCCTCACAAGGCCTTCTTGAGATATGGCATTCACGAGAATAAGATGGATGCAAAGTCACAGTAACAGTGACCTTTGACCACCAAAATCTAATCAATTCATCGTCGAGTTGGAGTGAATGTTTGTGCCAAATTTGTAGATCAAGATCAAGGTGTTGAGTTACTGTATTCATGAGAATGAATGCAAGGTCACATTGACCTTTTACCTTTGACCACCAAAATCTAATGAGTTTTTTGTTGAGTCCAAGTGAGCATTTGTGCCAAATTTGAAGAAGAAAAAAAAATCCCTCAAGGTGTTCTTGAGGTATTGCATTCACAAGAATGAAGACCACAGTGACATTGATCTTAGACCTATGACCACCAAAATACAATCAGTTCATTGATGAGTCCAAGTGGACATTTGTGCCAAATTTGTATAAATTTCCTCAAGTGTTCTTAAGTTATTGGGTTCATAATGCATATGTGGTCACAGTGACCTTTGACCTTAGACCAACAAAATCTAATCAGTACACTGCTGAGTCCAAGTCAGCGTTTGTGCCAAATTTAAAAAGAAATTCCCTCGAGGTGTTCTTGAGATATAGCATTCGCAAGAATCACAGACGAGGTCACAGTGACCTTGACCTTTGACCCCAAAAATCTAATCAGTTCATTGTTGACTCCAAGTGGACATTTGTGCCAAATTTGTAGAAATTCTCTTAAGGTGTTCTTGAGCTATTGCGTTCATGAGAATGAGATGAACGCAAGGTCACACTGACCTTTGACATCTGACCACCAAAATCTTATCAGTGGATTGCTGAGACCAAGTGAATGTTTGTGTCATTGTGCCAATTTGGAAACAAAATAAAAAATAAAAAATAAAAATTCCCTCAAGGTATTCTTGAGATATAGCATTCACAAGAATCACGCAGACGAGGTCACAGTGACCTTGATCTTTGACCTATGACCACAAAAATCTAATGAGTTCATTGTTTTTTTCCAAGTGGATATTTGTGCCAAATTTGAACAAATTTCCCAAATGTGTTTTTGGGCTATCACGTTCACAAGTGTGGGACAGATAACTCGAAAACATAATACCTTCAGCCATGGCTATCACTGGCACGAAGATGTAAAAATGGGCAGAACAACCACAAAATGACTACAAAGAGACACAAAACAACAACAAGAAGTCACAAAATAACCTTAAAGATGCATAACGACTACAAAGAGACACAAAACAACAACAAAAACGAGGCAAGACGACCACAAAGTCTGTGTGTCTTGCTCTTATGTAGAAGAGGTGATGGGGCCTTTTGCATATCTGTGCCCATTGTTTTATAATCAGCCCATGCTCTACAGAAGTCCTGCACTGATTTTTCCCAACATGTATACCACTTCCTCTCCATCAGGTGGTGCAGACTTGGTGTCCTGTGGAGCGTCAGGTGTGGTCAGACTTTGGAACACCGTCCACAGCTGTCTGGTGGGACACTTCACAGCTCACAACAAGGACCTGGGGTCTATCGTCACAACTGTCAGCCCCTGTGGGAAATATTTAGTCACAGCCGATAGGGAGGGGACACTCAAGACTTGGGACATACAGGTGAGTGTTTGTGGCTCACACATGTATTATGTCTTGTATATCGGCTGCAACGGACTGCACTGAAAGTACATAACACCATGATGTTTGCACACACTGTAAGAACAAGAGACAGAGTGATGGAGACTGATGAACACAAAGCCAGAGGGAGGTACAGAGATCAAGAGGCAGACTGTAGTACACAATAAAGAAAGACTGAACCTCCATATTTCCGTTAGATCGGGCATGTTGTTCTCTCCTCAAAGTGACAGACAGTGCTGTCATTTTGAAGCCTCAGTGGGACGCTGGAGTACAAGCAGACCAGTCAATCATTCAGGAAATCTCCACTGATACATTAGCAGGAGGAGGTGATGTCCCCATCCTCTGTGGTATTTTTTTATGCATTTTAGAAGCCGTTTAAATTGATGGGAGGAGTATTGTTTGCATTTGGCATCCCCATTTTAACAGACACTGAAATGTGTGGAAAATGCTGACACCGTCCCCCTAGATGTGAATAAAACCATTAAATTGGAATTATCAGTAGTTTCAGACAGGTTAGCTGAGAAAGATTCACTTTAACATGTGAGCACTTTACATACATAAGGCATGTTGAGTAGCTGAAGAGTTTCTGGTACCTCAGAGAGGCCTTTTGACTTTTTGACTCTTGATTATAAGGACTTAGATCGCGCCATCGGTATAAGGCGTAGCTGCATCACTGTCATGCTCCTAATCGCAGTAAAAGAACACCCTCTCGGGTATTATTGCCACAATATTCAGAGCTCAACTCTCTGTCACAGTTTATAAGAGGGGATGAATTCAGATGGGTACGTCTCGTTTGGCTTCCAGTTTAATTTATGCTGATTTATGTATATATGTAGCAGAGTTGAAGAAGTTGGACAAGCTCAGTGCTCTAGTAGAAATCCTGTCCTTTGGCAAGTTGGGAGCATGCTTTGGAATCAGCTGGATGACTAACATGATTGCTCAGTATACAGTGCTGTGCTCTCAGATGGGGGACTTTGCAGTTCAGTATCAGGTCTTGTCCTAACATGATGCAGTTGTTTGTGGTAGTTATTTTACATATTACACAACATGCCAAGTAGAATTTGTGTTAATTAAAATAAGTGTACTGTATGTTTTTCCCACAGCAAAATAGACGTGGCCAGAGGTCGTGTTTCATTTGTATTTTCATACAGATTCGTTGACTGTTCACTTAACCCCTTCCCTGAACAGTAATCGTCCAATAATAGCCTAGCAACTGTAGGCTTTGGATTTGTGCACATGTTGGAATGGGATACATGGGGCGGTATCTCTTGTAAAAAAATCTTTTTCCAAAACTAAAAAAACCCAAAGCAAAAATGTAAGAAACAGATAAAAGAGTGTGCCTATCTGCTCAAATGTAAGCTGCAAATGTTGGCATGTACAGCCAACTTGCTTACTATCACAGTAGTAACTCTAATGAAGTTTTATTCCAAAGCCAAGGACTGGAGAACATCATTAGCTAACGTTATGTTATTTTGTGGGGCTACAGAAAACATTAAGGATTTGCTGTCCCCACTGTGGTTCTGAACAGCATTCAAGTTTAGGGGAAAATTGGCAGAACTGTCCTTCTTTTTATTGAAGTTAGGGAAGTTTACACTTCAGCAATCCCAGCTAAACATATTTGTTAGTCCTAATCCTCATTAGCATCCTGCAAGAGCGGCCGCTAAACCTGCACAAATATTATGTGTAATTCTCAGAGCACCCTCAAAGGGTCTCTTCTACCTGCTGTGTTCTTGGCACAAAGGCAGCATTTATATTTTCCATGTGTATAATAGCAATCAGTTGGAAATCAAGGACAAATTGCACTCAGCTACAAACTTTCTGGGTGTGTGTGCGCTGTAATATCATTAGCACTGCATCTTTATACCATGAGACAGGGCAGGTAGTGATAGTGATGCACAACTAATGTTGCTGTCAGCAGGCGAAATCCATTCTTTGTGAATTTGCCGTTACTTTATTGTCATATGATGTGTTACTTGTCCAAAAATGACAATAAAACCATAAAACTTCAATTAAAAGCCTAGCCATTAAACCCCCAGTCCTTTTTACTAGCCCGTTATGGCTACACATTTTGACAAATAAGGTCTTGTCTCCATTAGATGCCTGGTCTGGCTGCCAAGTAGTTCTTTGGATGTATAAAACAGGTTGTCGGCTACCCACTTAAATAGCTGTTTAGATTGCACATAGAGATATAAACGTTTAAACTTTTGTCAATATGGGGATGCTACACATCGTTAGCTTAGTTAGATTCAACACAATTCAATTGTTCAATTAATTTTACCGAAAGAGAGCACCAGAGAAAACTCAATTCAATCAGGTACATTAGCATGACAAAAAAAAGGTGACTCCCTTCCTCTGAAGCGGTCAAAAAGTCTGAATATATGTCCATTCCTTGATTACCAGCTAAGATTTTCATATTCCTTTAGTCCGTAAGGGTCCACTGATGAAATTAATTCTTTTTCATAAAAAATGAATCCAAGTTTAGAATATTGTTTTAACAAGATAAAGTGTGTGTCGGGTCGGTATGCTGGGTGCCATTATCCTTAAGTGCTGTAAGGAGAGTGTCATAACTCACTCTCTACCTAGATTAAATGAATGATTTGTGATTGATATGTTATCTGAAGCCTAATTTTGATACATGTAATATTCATACTGGTTGAAATAAACAATTTGATCATTCGAAGGCCTGTTCCATTTAGATGGCTGTCCCAAATATAAGCCTGCTGACTTCAGTGATTTAGGCAAATCATAGCCTGGGCTACTGACTGAAGTTTTACAGTAAATCCAGCCACTGTTCATCACCCATCCATGTTTTCCTATAGTAATCAAAGAATCCGAACAGGGCTTACGTCAGAATCAAATACTCATATTGCATTGTAATATTAGAGCTAACTATCTCTACAACGTTGTCCCAGAACAATGGTGCTCCTTTGTTACTGTCTACTGCATGGATCTTTTGCTTTTCTTTCTACGGACATGTACCATTAGTTCAGTCAGGAACACTCAAGTCAAAGAAAACTCTATTTCCATTTGCAGTATTGTATTTGGCGGTATGGCTCTGTTCTGGGGCCCCTCTGCCTTTCCTCAGCCCATGCAGAAAGCCTCTTAAACGTCCCTACAGTACATGGAAAGCCTACAGTGGAGAGAGCAAATCTCCCTGCCCTTCCATGCGCCTACATGGAGAGCATTAGTGGTCTTACAATTCTTTAAATTGAATGCATGTCTTTGTACATCTTGGTATGTTTCTTCCTGCAAAACGTAGATGAAGTAACCACTGCTTCACTCCTCTGTCCTGCAGCATTATTGTCTTGAGCCATGTGATGGAGTAACGAAAGAAACTCCAACACTACTGTGTCGTTTCCACCCTCACCTTGATCGTGTGACCCACCTGGAGATGTGTCTCCATGGCGACACACTCCTCCTTCTCTCTGCATCGTCGGACTGCAGCGTGGCTCTGAGCTACCTGCCTGGGAGTACCATCGGCCTGTTCGGACAGGTAAACAAACACACACACACTCAGGTCATTTCAGTTCACTGCAGCAGTTTGAGTCACATAACATAACCTGCATGTTTGAAACAAATTGTTTTGGATGGCAGAGATATTGTTCGGCGCGACACTGTCAACGTAATGTCCTCAGATCCTCACAGTTCAAATGTACAGCGGTGCAGGATGGCTCTAATAAAAACTTTACCTCCCACTCTGCGGCATGCTGGTGGTGGGTGGTAGCATCCAGTTGACGAAATGGATGTGAAACCCAGCATCAAGCCACGGTTGGGCGTGTGTGTGTGCGCGCTTCTGTCAAAGGAGGCCCATATTAAGTTAGCCCGGGGCGGTGTCTGCTGAGTGTTGCTTCATTTCAGTTTGCCTCGGGCTCACACTCACACACACACACACACACACACACACGTACAGACACAAAAATACAACCACACAAATACAAGCACAACTTAAAGAAGAATGTGCATGAAGGCAAACAAACATGGGTGTACACCTACATACTTGTACTATATACAATACAATGCGACAGTGTAAATTCACGTTGAGCAACACACACACACACACACACACACACACACACACACACACACACACACACACACAGCGAGTTTGGGTTACTCTTAGTCTTTTCTTCACCACATTTCTATTTCATTAGACACTATTGGATTCATATATTGTCTTTGTGTGTTTATCAGAGGTGAATTCTGATAATAGAAGACCATCTACATTCAGCACATCAGGTTATCAAAGAATACACTGTCAATTATGAATACATTTTGGAGTAAGGAGAACACAGAGAGACAGTAACTCACATTAAAGAGCTTCCCACTACAGTTTGATGAAGGTTCCTCAGGGCAGCTGCACGTTTAAGTCCCCAAATCCTTACAGCTAATCTGTGGATTCAAAGCAGCAATCTTGTGGTCGCAAGGTCTTCTCGCACTGATCCCAAAATGTTCCTGCTGTTTTGTTTTCACTGCCGTCTGTCATCCGCAGGAGGAGCAGTGGTGCTTGGAGAGACCTGCACCCCTGCACCCACAGCAGGAACCAGAGCGGAACCAGAGAGAACAGGGAGGCCAGGGAAGGGAAAGGACACCTCCCGTTCCCAGTGAGACACTCCCTGACCTGGGACCCAACACCCCTGCAGAGGGTGGAGAGTGGACAGAAGAAAACTTTTATTCAGGTGAAGAGTTGACGGTCTAAAGTGCAATGTGCTGGTTTTGTACAACTTTGTTTTTATTGCTTTGTTTCACTGTCTGGTAAAACTCCTCAGTGTTTTTTAATTGTCCTGGAGGCATCTAAGGGCTTACCATGATTTAATGGGATTTTGGAGGAACAACTAACATTTTATCTTTAATTTTAAGTGAAAAAAAAAAAGAATCTGGCAAGTTAAATACTAAAAACAACAACTCTTGTTATAAGAGAACTAAGCCATTGTGTGCTATGCAGTCATGAGAGTGAGTCACACAAACACCACTAAATTGCAGCTTTTTCCACATTTTTATTTCTATTCCTCAGCACAGTGTGGTGTGTAACAGTGAATAGTCACTGCTGCCACTCACAACCACAACGAATGAAATAGCATTTGTGATGCTCCCAATTCTATGATTTTTACTCTGATACTTAGAGAACAGAAACATTATTTTTTCGGGCAGTTAGAGTGTGCCTTGTGATTTGAAAGTGATTGCGCTGCTGTAATATAAAAGTCAGTAGAAGCTGGCAGTCTCTGCTGCATTCTCAAATTCAGTCCTCCCATTCATTGCCAATGGAGTAGCTTCAGGCTGGTACATACATTTGACACCACACATTAGAGGGTTTGATTCCCTGGTTTTCTAGATCTCGGAGATGGATTTTCATGTCACAAATACTGACGGGGCTGTTGTGGTCTGAATACGGCCTTTGAAATATTCAACAAAATAATCATTAAACTAAGCCTTAAAGATGTTTTTGAGTGGGCTATATTTATTCTACCATGTTTATTGATCTTGTGATTACTGGACAGGAGGTATCAGGAGAGATGGGGTTGACACGTCATTGACAATAAACCAGGATACAAATAGCACCCTGCATTTAATGTTATATGTTTCTTAATGCAGTGTTGCAGTTTCTGTCCTTGTTTTATGACTTTTTGGTTACTCACCGACAATTTACTGTCATTTTTTCTGTCAAGTGTTTTTGTATTTCATTTTTCAGCATCCTCACAGAAATGAAAGTATTCAGATTGAGATTATTTATTGTCTTCGCCAAGTGCAAAAAACGAGTGCAAAAAAAGATGATCAATTTCCTGAGCTTTGGAAAGTCTTTGTAAGAAACTAACACATTTGGATATTCCGTGGCACACATCATTACAGGTGCAGTGTGTAAACTTGAAGGGGATGTAGTGGCATCAAGTGGTGTGAACTGCAGATTCTAACCAGCTGAAACTCCCAGGTAGAATTCCTTGAGTGTTCATTGTTCAGGAGGTTACTGGAAGCCTAATTATCCCCAAAGGTCTTTTCCTGTCCAGTACAAATGAAAATTTAAAAAAAAAAGCAGATTGACATTTTAAAAATTAGTGTCTTTCCGATGCTGTTTGTTGTGCAGGGGCTGCTAACTATGGTGGCCGACACGAAAACACAAAAATGCAATTGGCAGTATATATAACCATTATCAACCTGGTCTTACTCCAAAGTTGTCGAAATCTGGCGCTTGGCAGTGACTTGAGGTGTAAGACACCGATGAAAAAAGCTGTCCTTTAATGTTGGCATGATACATGGCCATGGTCACTGTAATAGTTTAACAGCGCCCAGCAGTGTCAGGAGGAAATGTGGTGGAACAAGAACAAAAATAAGTCTGAGTGGGCGCGGCGGGCAGGGAGGTGGATGAGTCCAACAAATGACGACTTTCACCCGGAAGAGTGTTCGCGTCCAGTGAGATTCCAAAGCCAAACCCTGTACTTTTTTCCTAAACCTCGTCAACAACCAACGCACCCAGGGTACCTTGCACGTCCTATCTGGACGTGGAAAGTCCATGACCAAATGTCGACATGTCATGAGGTCGGAGTGAGAATGTGTTGCCAGTGTTTAGTTTGTCCATTCTGAGCTATTGTAGAAACTTGGTGGTGCAACATGGCAGACCTCATGGATGAGGACCTGCTCTTTAAATGGCTAATTCCAACGTAATGAAAACACAACGATTCTTATTTTCAGGTAATTGTACACCAAAGAAGACACACAAACATTTCAGGCAGTATGTCCCCTAAATTCTAACCTTTGAATAAGTGTGTAAACACAACATGGGATATTAGCAAAGACTGAGACTTTAAAATGAATGCTGTCTTTAAACAGCTCCTTTATTTGTCTCCAGAAAAACAAGGCAGCACAGTTTCTGGAACGTTGCCCCAAATGAAAATAGACGGCAAAGGGATCCCAACTCTATCTGCCATCTCTGCGACTGGTGCTCTATTGATATATTGTTACACACACACACACACACACACACACACATACATACATGCACACATACACACACTCACACAACACATCAATCAGACTTCACAAGGCCTATTCAGAGTCCAGCTGGTGTAAGCTCTTGCTCAGATGCCTTACTCCAAAGACTTGAATAACTGCAGTACTTCAATGCTCAGCTTTGCCCGGAAACAGTGTGATGAAGATAATCTGACCTTAAAAACCTAGATTTTCTTTGCCATAAATTGAGTAACTGTGGCTTGAAGACGATAAAAAGTCTACAGTCATGCTAGCAGCTCTGTGAATCCATGCTTGGGCACAGTGGTGCTTTGAGCTGAATGCCAACATGCTGATTTCAAGCAAGTATAACGTTTTCCATATCAAACCTGTGTATCAAAGTGTGTTAGCATGCTAACCTTCTTTGCTTATTAGCACAAAGCACAGCTGAGGCTGATGAGAATGTCATTAGCTGTGCATGTATTTGCTCATAAATCAAAGTATTGTACAAATTGAAATTTTGACATGATGATGGCACTACATAATGACGAGCCAGGAGATTAACAAAGATGTAACAATCAATCCTGAGGGGGACATGAGTGTCTGTGTCAAATTTCATGATAATCCATCCCTTAGATACTGAGATATATCACTTAAAACCACAACTTTAATGGTGATGTTAAAGGAAATGTCAGCAAATCACTTGAGTCATTAGGATCAATCATTGGAGGACCATGAGTATCTGTACTTTAATTGAATAAATGAAGGGGATCATCAAAGTTCACCTCAGTTATTGAGATATTTTCATCTGGACCAAAGTGATGGACCAACAGACTGACCATCGGACAGACATTATCGTACACAGAGTAACTCCGCAAGTGTGGCAAAAAAAAAAAATCTTTTCAAGACCCACCTGTCTGGGCAGCTGTGGATCAGAAGGTAGAGCCGTTGTCTATCTACCAATCAGAAAGTTGGGGTTTCAAAGCCATTGGGTAAGATACTGAACCCCAGTTGCAAAACTGAACATAGGTGTAGCAAAGAACATTTATTGTGACAAAATCAAGGCCATTTACATCATAAACTGATGCACACTGGGCAGAGAAGTTCACCAGAGTGCAGGAGATTAAGTGTTTAATGCCCCTGTATCCTCTTTCGTAGTCCTCAAAATGAAAACCCTGAAATTGAGTGCATGTGAATGTTTATGATGTGCAGGTGGTGTAATAATAGGTGCTAACAAAGATCTAACCAGCAGATAACATCTACAACATCTAGAGAGACCTTATACAGATCTTGGGTATATACAGGAAGTGGAATATGAATGTTTTGACGAGCATGACCTAACTTACAATAAACAGCCGAAGCTAGCATGAAGTTCCATCCCGCTGTCTTATTCATAGTAGAACAAGAATGTTACAGGTGGCACCTTGCATTGTAGCCTCAGCCACCTGTGTGTGAATAGGCGAATGGTGCTTGTGTTATAAAGCACTGTGAGCAATCGCTAAGACTAAAAAAAAAATAAATAAAAAAATGCAGGTGTCATGTTTAGCTGTAATTAGACGTGGAATCAAAGCTGTGTAGTGGAGTGTGGCTGTAGGGAAAACTAGTGCTTAATCCTTGTGATTATAACCTAAGCCCACAAATACTCATTTCATGACCATAAAATTATAAGCAATCAAAGAACAATGTAATATTAATCTACAGTGTAATAGTTTCTTCAGGATAATGAAAGCGGTCGAAGTAGAGAGAGAGAGTTTAAGTGTCTCAGTGAGCCCAAGGGCAGGTCAGATGACAAAGGACTCCACGTTTTAAAAGAATATCTAACTTGTGAAAAGGTGCCCACCAGGGCTCTACAGAGGGGGTCAATACTGACTCTGTGAATGTGTGTGTGTGCGCGTGTGTGTGTACTGTACTGAGCTCATCAGAAAAGTTGGTGTGGTTGATTTGGTGGAAGGGCCAATTGGCAAGTCTACACTGGGCTGCCAGCCAACTACTGGGCATGAGGTGAGGAGAGGGAATGGCCTCACTCCATCACCAGCTGAGTGTTTTTTGTGTGTGTGTGTGTGTGTGTGTGTGTGTGTGTGTGTGTGTGGAAATACGTATGTACATCTGAATAGCCTCAGTCCATCAGAGTAGCCATTTACCGGCGAGTGAGAGCGTCAGGTCTGTTCCGCTCACTCCATCACCGTGTGTGTGTGTGTGTGTGTGTGTGTGTGTGCGTGTGTGTGTGTGTGTGTTTGTGAACAATACAGGAGTCATGGATATTGATGGGTCTGGGCACTCACTCTAATCTCTGCGGCAACACAAAGTACTCTGGTATCCACAGGAGAAATAAGACACGCTGCCCTCTGACACATACACACACACACACACACACACACACACACACACACACACACACACTCAACAGAGGAAAGTGCTGGATTTAATCTGTGTTTTTACACAGCCATAACGATCGCTCGAAATTATAACAAACTAGATTAAAAGTGTGAACATTGGGAACACGTCTAATAACCAAACAAGCCTGTGAAATTCAGATGTCGTTAAATTTAGCACCAGCTTCACACACACACGCACGCGCACACACACACACACACACACACACACACACACACACACACTCACAATGTGGAGTAGCAATTAGAAGCAGGCAGGTTGATTTTGATTTTAATTGGAGCCCTTGCTGTGAGCTCCACCTGTTATCGTCGACAGCCAACAAACATAAATGTGGAGTTGTCAGTCCTGCAAAACTCTTGCGCTCAGTTTTATCGAAATTCCCGCAGCCTAATCACCCGTTCCTTCTCTGAGTTCT